GAGGCAGGGGTTTAAATAGAGGCTTGAACAGGTGAGGGGAGTTGTGCTGATGAGGGAGTGCTTGATTAGTGATCAGCAGCAGGTGAAGGGAGTTAGACTGGTGCTGAGGGAGTGGCTGACAGGTAGAGTGAGGAGGGTGTGGAGCTACACAAAGACACACACAGAACACAGAAGGCAAAGCCTGATCGTGACACCAAGGTCCACTAACCTTAAGGTGTGTTAATGGCTAGCAAGGGTATAGGTTTTGTTTCAATATTGGGGGGGGAAATATATGAAGCGAGGGTTCAGGGGGTCCTCCTCAGAACATTTTGAGCGTCAAACACTTCATTTCCTGCATTCTGGTGAATTTTTGCATCAATTTATGGTGGAATTGTCTTGACTTATGCTGGAAAAAAAGAAAAAGGCTGTAGGTGATGATTAAAAATATAGAAAATATAATGCAATAGAATTCAGTAAGGCTCTCAAGCATTCTGTGTTTTTTTCAAATACTTATTCTCCTGTATATCAACTTTTCTCCTTTAATATAATCTCTGCTGAGTCGACACACATGTAGGCATGTGAGTCTTCCCCCATCTCTGGGGTCAATTATTTGAGGAAGTAACCTCTTTAAATGTGCATGTGGCACCTATTAATTAATTATAGTCATTTATAAACCCTGGTCTTTGATAGCTCATATAGGGTACAGCAAGATTTCTAATCATGTTCCAAACTTTCTGCACATTCAAAAAATTTCCTTGAGTAGTCAAGAATAAAGTTGTGATATTTTGAGGCAAAAGTCATAATATTATGAGAATAAAGTTGTATTTTAAAGAGAGTATAAAAATATCTACCTTCCCAAAAGTCTGATTAAATATTGAGAGGGTCTCCATCTGATGACCGTGTAGACTTGCCTGTACTCTTACACTCAAACATGCCTTCGCATTAAAAGCATATTATTTTCATTGGTAAGACGGGTCAAGGGACATAAATCATGAAAAGTAAGCTAACTAGTGGCTGTTACAAAACTATCTAACTATTAGTACAACTAGATAGACGGTGATGGTGGTTGGACAAGTGAGCAGAATTCAAGTGTTAGTTGACAGAATTGTTGTCACAATGACAGAGAAGGGGGGGGGTTTCATTGGCTGATGATCACTGATTCCCATAAATACATCATTAGTTAGCGATTTCAACTTGTCTTGCTAGGATAATCATACTGATTGACAACAGTCTGAAAGCTTTGTACCATCGCAAGATATCTTCTCTCCTATATATAAGCCGTCACTCTTGAGGATGGACCTCAACCAGAGTAAAGACTATCAATTCCACTAAATTCTTAAGGTGTAGCCTTAAACAACAGTACACAGTTGTTCAATGAGGTACAAATAAACTTCCAAGTGCTGGGTCAATGCTAGTGGACATACAAGGGAAAGAACTGGTTCACTTTCTGAGTGGAAATGTTCTCACTGTGATTGGCCTTATGTGATTGTAGGTTGGCGATGACAAAATCAACATTACGTGCAAACATCTCAGCGGCCACACCCAGGAATGAGTTTTAAGCACAGAAAACACAGAGACTTTCTTACAGCACCTGGAGAGAATGGTTAGCAACATGGGAGGTAAACCACAGCAGTCCAGATGTCCTCCTCGCCAGCTCAGGTGGCAAGAAATTTTGAAGAGAACGTGTGAGAAACAAGCAGCTGTAGCAGTGTGAAGCACGACAGTGACAGCGAGCAGCACAGAGCTGGCAGTGTGGACTGTTTGAAGGCAGAGTGGTGGTAGTCCAAGTGGAGGGAGTTATTTAGAGGGAGGATGTCAAAGCAGCAATACTCTCAGATGCACTGAGGATGTTTCTTTCTTAAGATGTAAGTTATGAAAAGGTGAGGTAATGATAAGCAATGTGATGGACAAGAAGCTGGTCAGTCCAGCAAAATACGTCCACTCAGGGCAACTTGATCCAACCTATCAAAGTATTATTTAAGAATTATTGTGTTAAGGAGCTTATATTTTCAAGACCGTATGTTGTTGTTCTTTTTTGTTGGTTTGTCCTGTTGTCAGCAGGATGTTTCAGAATCAGAAACGGTTTATTGCCAAGTACGTTACACATACAAGGAGTTTGGCTTGGGGATTGATGTGTGACAAACTTCATAAGAGATTTAAATTAGACCAGGAATTTCAGCTCACAATTTCTTAACCATCAAGTTATTTGGTCCGTAATATTTAAATTATTTGGGATATACTATGTTTACTATAACTGGCCATGATATGCCATTTAAATGAGTGATTGTAGAACAGTCAACGTCAGTTTCTTCTGACTATAAACATGATTTCTCCCTAATCTTGTGGTTATTTTGTAACAATAATGATAAAAGGTCTTGTTAAATGCAGGGTATGATCATAACTTAATGATGTAAGTTCAACTCACTTGAAAATTATGATTATCAAACAAGTGTTCTCTTGTTTGATTACCATAAAGGTATACCATAATTTTCAATTTGATTTGTAAAAATCTCCAGAAAACTCAACAAACAATAAAATGTAAACACATCGTAAATAATGAATCGCATTTCACATTATCATTTATTCATGAAGATGGTATTTTCAGAAACGCACTGCTTGAGAGTACACACTGAGTACACACTGCTTCTTTTACACACAAGAACAGAACATCTGAACTCTTGGTTGTAACTTGAGAATGAATCGGCATTACACAACGGCTAAAAACATGAAGTTCATTTAATAATCATCACTGATGATGATTTAAAAGTAAAATCGAAAGCCAGAAACAACAAATATTCATCGCTTGATAATTGTCATGTCATTCAATGCAAGGTGAACATTTAAGTTAAAGTATTGATCAATAATAAGGATATTGTAAGTGAAATTATTCGTATCCCTATACTGTACCGTCAGGTCAGATAAACATGGCAGACAAGGCACAATCCCACCTGTCACAACAGAAAATAGCAACTGACTAATGAAAGAGGAAATAACATCTCTGTGACTATAGAAAAATAGATCATTAATTTCCCTTTTTCACAGTTGTACGGTAAATGACCTGCATCATTTGAAATAAGCAGATAAATGTGTCAACTAGAAAAATATATATACGGCAAAATGCAGCATTTGGTCTGTATTATCGGGAAACATGATCTGGATAACTTCAATCCAACTGTTGTGTTCTTTTATTATAAATAGCTTATTTTCCCCCAATGGATAAAGTATTTAACTAACTGTCTCCTGATAAACAACTAACTGAAATCTATCCAGACAACACTTCCTGTTTAGCCATTTCCTCATCCTTCCCATCTACAGTTAAGACTGCTCTTACGAAACAAAATGCTGTATATACTGTACTGAAAATACATGGGTTTTTTTTTATTGTCTGAATCAGCATGATCTCGCCTTCTCCAACTGGTTTGTTTTTTTGTCAATTTAACTGCATTGAGGAAAGTCCTATGTTTCTTTTTCCTTCCATTCAATAACATTTCTCTCCTCGGCTTATTAACACACAAGGGGAAGTCTACAAGAGCTTTCAAAGGCAGATGCTCAAGGTGAGCACCACATTAAGTGCACTATAATAGATGTCTCCCTAGCCACGATAAATGGTGTGACAGGATCCGGAAGCCTTTTATTCACTCACACAGACACATACATTTGAACTTATGTACTTGTGAGGACCTTGATTGCCATCCCTAGCCTCAAGCCCTAACCTTACCATTTCAACTAAATGCCTGACCCCAACCTGTTCTCTGAACTGACCCTAAGCCTGCACCTTAACCTTAAAACCAAACAGTGTTTTCAGCTACTTGTAAAATATATAGACTCAGGTATACTCTGTGATATGATAGAATACTAGAATACAGAAGTGTTTTAGCAAGTGTGAGCTCTTGATAATACATTGTGAGCTCCATCATGATAATCAGAGAGTTGGCAGTTTTTTTACAGCATCGCTGACAAGACCACTCTATTTATGTTGGTAATGTTAATGTATTCTAAAATATATATTTTGGTTCAGCAGCTTCATGAAGTGCCCTTGAACTTCCAATATTTATGAAAATAAAAATTGAGTTTACATCTTACATTGTGCTAAAAGTCTTTCTGTGCAGTCTTAGAAATCCTTCCAAACAAGCAAGATTCACATTAAATATTAAGTGAAGGGCAAAATAAGGAAACAGTTTACACCTCTGCTGTGATATCATCATGTCCTGTTTAGCTTCTTTATTTTTTTTAAGAGACAATTTTCTTCAACGATTGTTTTTACAACAATGGCATACCTTTAATCAGCATGGTGAAATATGTTTACTCTATATCACACCCACAGAAACAGTTGTGCTCTAAAGTGTGGCCTGGAGAACAGTTGCACGTCATCTGCACTGAGCCCCAGACCTCAGTATCAATAGCGGTCATGTGTGCAGAGGCATGTGTGGTCAAAATTTAAAATGTAAAAAGAAAGAAAGTCAATGAAAAAAGGGATAAACGTTGATGGCTTTTCACACTGCATAAGTCAGTTCATCTTTTAAAATTGCAATTTGAATAGTAACAAGGCATACAGTAAGTCAGCTCATAATGACAGACAGTATATTTACATTAAGTATCAGTCTACTTATTGTTCACATCAGTATGAGCCACATCATTTTAAAGTCACAAATAAGCTAACCAATAAGTCATGATGACCTGCTAATCACGTGGTGCCTTACCACATGAATCTTTAGCTGTGGAGTACAACACTGACAATGTTTGGTTGATGAGAAGCCAAGTGTCCTTGTTGGATGAGGTCATTTTATTAGGTGCAACAGGAAAATTGTAAAATTTTACATCTCGTTTTTTAATCTTGTACTTTTGCTTGTCAGCACATTGTTCAATTAATGATTAACCCATATCCATATGAATGTAGTCAAAATTATGGCACTTTTGTGGTGACACTCGGGTCAATGAAAGGGGATAGGCCTAAGCCTGAATGTCAACAAGCACAGTTTGTAGCTTCCAGTAAGTCATCATTGCTTATAAATAGTTCCAATGAATGTGTTCCGGACGGTTCCTGAATCACGGTTAAATCATGTCTTCCGTTGACGGTAAAGTAGACCGGTAGAGTGAGCCGAGAGGAACTGTCTCAGTTGGTGTCTCTGTGAACACAAGACATCCAGCATATCCTCTCCCGTTGAGTAGTTGGATTGCAACAGAGGGCGCATGCAGACCATCGGGCGGTGCATTCTTAGCTGGGGACTAATTTTCTATCCTCCACTTAGCTCTGGGTAAACAGCACCGCCCCGACGCTTGTTTGTTTTAAGTGTCGAACGATCCATCGCGCAGCGCCGGGCTCGATTGACACTGTCTGCTGATCTGCTACTGCGGATTGCTCAGAATAACACGGCTGCTCGCTAATTCCCGTCTATCGGGGCTTTCGCCGAAACACCGAGAGAGTATAGGGTCCAAAAAAAAAGCCAACAAGGCAGGCAATAACGCCGCGCCGCCGGAGTCCGCACCCCACGATGGCTTCAGGAGACCTTTACGAGGTAGGATAAAAGCCCGTCCAGGGAAAATGCTCTGTAATATTGACGAATAATGGAATTAGGAAGTAAAGGGGAGGGCGTCGCGTCTGTGAAAAGCGGTGTACTAAGCCCTTTAACAGGCGAAACTAACCCTTCTCGTGCTTTGCGAAGACGAGGTTGGTTCATTTCTGCTCATACTTTGTGTCGCTTCTGATGTACTTTTGACGTAATTCTTCGCGGCGGTAGTAAATAGATAATGTGTCATTTTACGGGCTGAACTCCTCAGCCTGCCGCCGAGTTGAAAGTGGTGGTAAAGTGACAGCAGCGCTGAGCGGACGAACATGGTGAATAGCTCCAGACGGAGTGATGGTTCTCAAGGTGCGCATGCCATGCCAAAATAGATTTAGTCATCACAGCCTTTCCAGCGGTGTGACTGTTTGGCACATGCGACGAGACACCAGTTTATTTCTACCGAGCGGTACAAACAAGTCCGCGTGAGCTTCTCTCACGGTTGATGTGCGAAATTTGTTAAATTATGACTCCCGACAGTTTTTGTTTTTTTTTAAGCGTAAAAGTTGCCCAAATGGGCAGCAGGAAGATCACGCTGCCCTCGTGCGCAACATCACGCAGGACCCGCTGCCAGAGTGGGCATGGAACCGGATTTCTACATCAGATTCACTGACTTAAGCACTCGCAGTCATTAGCCTGTGTTACTCTGACATGGTGTCATGTTTTAGGTCATGGTGACAGAGAGAGAGAGAGAGAGAGATGGTGGGTCAGTGTCTGGTGACTTACTAGGTCAAACAAATATAGTTAGACTAAACAAGTTATATATGTTTCAAAGTAAATTGCACAATTCAGACATGCCACAAAAATGTATATCTGAAAAAGAAACTTGGGGAGCTCTGAGTGTTGAAGTAACACTGTCTGTTCAAGGTAAACTGACAAACATAGACTATGATGAGTCAAGCAGGACATATAGGTTGACCAGGTTTATAAACTGTGTCATTACAGTTAGCCCTGCAGGCTGTAATATTTGTTTCTTTTATTATTGCTCTTTATCCAAGAGACCCATTTAATTTGGAAAATGAACACAGTGCTGCAAATGAGAGGATCCATGGACTAAAGAAATCAAATCTATAGATTTGACAGGAGTATATTAATAATTTACATCCCCGGCCCCTTGAGTCCATGTGTTTTGGCTATTGACAGTTGTATTTACTTTAAAGGTTTTCCTTCACAGTATATTACAAATTGGATTTTAACTGCATATTTTCAGCTTAATTAATTAGGCTTCTTTCAGTTGGGTAAATCTTCATGCATTCATACAAACTAACTGAGCTGCGAAACCCGTTTGTGTTCTGCCTTATGCAAGTCATATCATTCAGTAATTACGGAGAAGCTAAATGGGGGGAAAGCATTATTGTCAGCCTCTGACTTGTATGGAGTTGTGTGAGTTACGTCAATGAAGTAGTCGCAATAAAGTGCTTTTGTATTTCAATTTGACTACTAGATTGAAAATGCTGTTCATTCCATACAAGCAGCTGGTTTGATGTGTAACCTGCCTCGCGTGGCAGTGTTACCCTCTGATTACTGGACATTGACTCATTTTCTGTGGAGCTGATTGTTTGATCAGCGTTAAACAGGTTTATTGCTCACAAAATATGATTTCTCTGTGTTGGTAACAATGCGTTGGCAGGCATGGCACATCAACAGTCTCTTAAGTCTTTGGATCGTTTCTCCGCTGACATGACAGCAGCTCCATCGGTGATAGTTCTGTTTAGGGTGACATTTGAAATATAGAAAACAGTGTTTTCTGTTGTTGGACTTCATGGCAAGGAATGATTTTGAAGAGTATGTGCAGAGTGCGCCAGCACCAATAAACTAGCTAATAATATTTTGTCGAGGTGGTTTGTTTGATGGAGCTGTAAGAGAGTGTTTTAAAAGAGGAAGTTAGAAGAAACATCATTTAGAAGGAAGATATTCACAAATGCTTTGGGATGAGCGAGCAGTGACCTCCAGAACAGAGTGAGAGAGGCTGAGACCACGTTGGGTAAAATTCAGTATTCCTCTGGTTTTGTCCGAATTCAGTCTGTAAGAGCTCCAGTTTTGAGCGTTCCTAAAATTCACGGTCACTCTGATCTTTTGCGTGCCTCGTCTGTAAACTAGGTTATTGTTCTCTATCTTAATGGAGAAAAGGGTAGTAAGTTGTGTTGAACAGATCTCATGGCATCAAACTATCTGATGGCTGATGTATGAAAGCATGTTTTGCAAAATTGTGGATAACGGTAAGGTTTTCTGCTGACTTTGTAAAATGCATTGAGGCAGCTGCAGGGTGAATAAACGGAACAATGTCATTGTCAATTCCACAATGTAGTTAAGAAGACAACAGTTGCTGGGATCAGTTGCTGTTCAGAGGTGTTCACTGCTCACCTGTTGTTTACTAAGCACATTCAATACAAAACATGCATGCACACATTAGAAGAACAAAATGATCTATAGAGCCTAATTACTTTTTTAATAAATGTAACCTAAGTTGAGGTTCCCCATATTCTTCAGAACCGTCCGTTATCATGACTTTTTGCATTTTGTTGTTCCCAAAATCAGAACTAAATTAGTTAAGTAAGCTTTTAGATTTAATTTACAGACTGCAAGATACAATTAAATGTTAATGTTCATTTTTGAAACGTTGAAGGCTTAAAGATATCTTTGATCTCAATGGGACAAACCTGGTTAAATAACGGCTGAATAAAATTAAATAAATCTTTGTTTACAACCAACACCTGTTAAAAGAGCAATGTATAGGATGAAGAGGAGTGGACCGGGCACTGAACCTTGGGGGACACCTTGAGAGACTGGGCCTGTGTCAGTGTTGAATTTATTGATGCTAATGAACTGGTGGTGGTCGAAGAGGTATGATCTGAACCAGGTGAGGGCTGTGCCAGTGATGTGGAGGGAGGACTCGAGGCGGGTAAGGAGGATGGAATGGTTGATGGTTCCTAAGGCTGCACTGGGATCAGGCAGGATAAGGATGTTGAGGGAGTGGTCATCATAGGGAAGGATGAGGTCGTTGGTGGCTTTGATTAGGGCAGTTTCTGTGCTGTGATGGGATCCGGATTGAAAAATAAGACTACTACAAATCCAGCTTCAGGTGGAAAACTTTAATATTTTATTCTGTGCTAGATTCCATCAGAAGCCTGCTGTTAATATGAAAGTACACAATCGTGAAAATTCACAAGATCAAGCAAATTGTGTCCTTTTGGCAGGCAGTGGATTTTTTAATATTTACTTCAGTGGAAGTTAGAGGGGACCTGACATTGCCTGCTGGATGTTAAACCAGAAACGGAGGATGGTTGGAAAGTTTTACAAGAGTTTTTAATGATGCTGTGGATATAACTACCCATCATTTCCTCTGAAGTGTTGATCGCATTTAACAGGAGTAAACAGCCTTTGATGTGTGAACTGCAGGGGAGCCATTGAAATGAACAGGAGATTTGAATGCTTACGGTGCCAGATAGCGTCACACTTTAACATATAGTAGAGACGCATGCAAGGAAAACACAAGTGGAGAAGGCAGATAGAAGGCCCAAGTTGCATACACAGACAAAAGCGGTTTAGTAACACTTGGCGCTTCAGTAGCTTGCAGAATGGAGGCGGGCATATCCTCCCACAGCTGCCAAATGCTGTTTCAGCATCATCTAGCCCAAAGCATAGTGAGAGGAACATACAATGGTCTGTCAGGGATGTCGAGACAGGTGTGTAATGTACACCCTGACATCACTTCTGGGTGTGCTTTCAGGTGCAACAGAGCACAGGTCTGACCACACTCAGTCGTGCTAATTTGCACCAATCAAATGCAGCGAAACTCACAAGAGGAAGTAAGACCCAAGCTACATGCACAACCAGCAAACATATTACCTGGAAACATCAGACCGATGACAGTTGACATCAGTGTGCTATTTTCTAATTACAAAGAAAATATTGCATGCATATGCTTCAAACCAGTGTAAAAACAATTACTACAGTCACTAAATAAAACACATGCTGCTCTATTTGTCAAACAGATGCACCAGGTTGGAGTCAGTCATTGCATCGAGTATGCATTTAAGGGAGGATTGCACAAGACGTGAACTCGGGTTAGGTAATTTGCGACCATCAGTTATGTGTGGAAAATTCTCCAACTTTGCAAACCAGTCGTAAAATATTGCGCAAGTGGGATTCACTAGAGCCACAAGGAGGGTTGTGTTGGCAAAAATAATATGTGGAATGTAGGGCTATATATAACTACCAAATGTTTATTAGAAAGAAAGATTAAGCAATTGGGGTTAGTGATCAAGTCGATGCCAACATTCTGAGAAGGGTACTGTAGATACAGTCAGGACTCGAGACTACCGGCGTCTCATCGAGCCAGGGCCAAACCAAAATGTGTTTGGGACGCAGCGAACTCTCAATCCACACCTCCCGGGGACGCACCCTATTTTTTCGCAGATAATGCTAAATTTTGGACAACAAATCCGTGGTTCGATCGGCAGGAGGAGAACGAGTTAACGTTAGATGTTAGCAGCTGGTAAGCACAGTCCTGCACGGATTTTGATTTAGTTATGTGTTTAAAATGTAATCTTGTAGAATTCGTTTTTGGGCAAGAAACTTTAGTAAACACAGTTGTATGAAGGAGATGTTTTCACCATAGACCGTATGTGAGAAGTAGCTGTGGTCACCCATTGGTTTGTGGACTTTTTAAAGCTTTTTTTTGGCATTTGGGCCATCAAAAGGCAAATTGTTTTTTTTCTGCTCATCGAGAATGCCCCTCATGCTTGGGGATCGCTCATCTGGAGGAGCACATGGATAATCCCTGCAGTGCAGCTGTCTAGGGAGCAGCGACACCGGCGCGCTACCAGGGTTTGAAGCAGCTGTGTGCCTGAGTGGGTTCGGGAGACGGAACGCTCTCCAGACAGGCCCGGTCATAAGCACCTCGATGTCCCCATGCTAATCATGACGCATCGTCAGGTAGAGACAAACGTGTTTTGCCCATAGACTGTAAATAGATATGGTTTTGCCACTGTGAGCTAGCTCGGACCCCTCGGATGCAGGGACACAAAATGGATCGTTTTTTGAAAAAGCGATGTGGGAGACAACCCTGCGCCAGTAAAGGCTGAGCCTTTTGTGTGAAAATATGTATCATTTTTGGATTCATAATGGCAACTACTCACTGGGGGGGGGGGGGGTCACCTTTCAGATACTGCAGAAGTGGATGAGGAATCAGCCGTGGTGGGGGAGTGGGGGAGAGTTTTCCGCCAATACTCTTATTACTAGAGTACTTCTGTAGCCCCCATGTCTGACCCAGTTCCTGTGGGAGGGCAGATTAATTCCCCACCTTGCAGTCCATTGGCAGAAGATTATGCTTCAAGGCTGAGGACAGCATGAACAAAACATCCCAAAGGCCTCAATTCAGTGCAGACAGTTGGCTAATGCCCGTTACCCAGCAGAAAGCGGACTAGACGACTTGTAGAACAGGCAACAGCACCATGGACAGCACTAGCGGCAACCCGTTTTTACACGACTAGACGCATCCTTTTTCCTGCACTGGCCTATAATTGTAAAGTGGCAACCTGTAAATATCACTGTATAAAACCTTGATTTATATCAACCGTACTTTGATCTCTATGCAAATGTCTTCAAAAGGTTTCCTTTAATGACAGTAATGCGGCAAATAAGAGAAGCTTTGATCTTAGTAGAAATGGGCACCGGACATTTCAGTATGAACATAAGAGAGAAGAAAAATGATTTGTGTCTGAAAAAGTATTCATTGGTCAGTCACAACACGTAGTTATGACAATATACTTGAATCTGCATTCATGATTGTCATTTGAAGTCAATTCAACAAGCTGTAAATGCAACAATAATATATTATCACCTTATAAGGTTCTTATGGTAAACATGTTTTCTCATTCACCAACAAGGCAACATTAGCTTTCATTTGGTGTTTCTGGCCATCTGGCCATTTAGGTTCAATACTCCTGACTCCTGAGGGAAACAGCTGGCTCTTAAGCGGCTACATTCTCCACCGTGTTCACCAGATAGTCGTCACTGACTTCATCTGTTATTTGGTGCTGGACAGGTAGCGTGCAGTCAGTTTATCAGAGCTGTTTTGCTGCTTGCTGTGGCCAGAAACAAGACTATGAGAGTGGTAACACAGAACCAAAACAAAATGACTTGCTCGTCATTATCAGGGGGCATTACATAACATAAACAGGTTTTAAGTCCCCAGTTGAACCCAGTTATTTCAAATGTTCATTTGGAAGTGAAACAAAACGTGAACTCAACCAAAATGTCTATTACTGCATGGGACATCCTCAGAATATGTAATACTTATATGATGGTCATTACATTTGGCTGAATGTTTTCAGAGGTTTTGGTCACGCTGTAGTGTGTTAGTGTGGCTTGGATGTTGTCATTTCTCTGAACTGGACTGGACTGGAGAGGTACGATTTTCTGGACTGGTTGGTGTGGGTGTTAGAAGAGTACGTCCACACATGGGTGGTTAAATCTGTAAATGCATCTCTTTCTTTCCATTTCAGACCCCCCCCTTCCACTCTAAAACACCATTTTTCTTGCCCCCAAAAACAGATTTTCAAAAAATAGTTTTCAGAGTGTGCGAGAAATTGGTGGAACTGTGTACGAGAAAACCTGACCTTTTATGCAAAACAATGATATAAGCTGTCCAGGGAGGGTTTTTGGTATGCGTAGCAGCAACGTGTTAAGACGACCTTTGGTCGCCTCTAACTCTCTTTGTGAAAGTTCATTTCAAATGTCAATACAGTCAAACCCACAGCACAGCTGCTGTCATAACCTGTATTTATGCTAATTTCGTCCGTCGATGCAACGACTATAAAATAATAATTTCTTCATTTGTTGTCAAAGTCTGTTCCCTCTTTGAATGGTGCTTTCCTCCAGTTAGAATTGTGTTGTCTGTCCCACATACCATGTTGGCCGTGATGCTCGGTTTTGTTTTTTGCTAATTCGTGAGGAGGAGGAGGAGGAGGAGGAGGAGGAGGAGGAGGAGGAGGAGGAACGTTTGATTGTTAAGGCTTTTCACTATGGGCAGAGGTCTCTACGAAAATGACCCAGAAACTCTTGTGCTAACACGATAATAGTGTTTTGTAAATTAGACGGCTTATTGTAGACGGAGCCTTTTCAGTTTGTTTGCTGCTTGAAGCATCAAGTGTTTCTAAACTGCTCCCGTCTGTGTGAAGTTTACCACAAGCTTTGTCCTTCCTTCTCTTCCCTCCTTACTTTGCATGCGTCTCTCTGCAATGCTGTTACGTGTGACACTGTTTGGGACTGTAAGCAACCTAATCGTCTGCTCATTTCTGTGACAGCCCTGCGGCTCACCCATCAAAGGCTGTTTACTCCTGTTAATGTGCGCAGCACATCTGAGAACACGACGAGCAGTTATTACCACAGCTGCACTTAAGACTCTGATGAAATCTTCCAACCATTATCCATCAGAGTCATGGCCCGTATGTATAAATGTCCTAGTATTGTTCAACAGATAAAACTTACCAGTCTTAAAGACTAAAAAGCTGTATTCAGCATGTATCGTCAGAGTAACTGTCAAAGACTGCTGTAAAATCCGAAGAGCCTTACATGAGGTCTGAGGATGTTATCGCGTGTGATTTTTTAAATTTTTTTTTATAATGCAAGTCATATGTTTGTCAACATAAATGTGCCACCATGTGAGGGAATGTTAAGAAACCTTATGTATCCAACCAAAACCTGTGTGCAATATGTCTGAGATGTGTCAACAATGGTACAATGGGTGAGTTAACACATCTAGTCACAATATAGTGGATATCAATTACCAGTCAATGGAAACCTAACATTTGGAGTTGACTTCCAACCTGTTGAATGAACATTATTGACTGACATTAAAGACTCTAACAGAGGGCCGTCTGTACTTAAGAACATCCAGAAATCTTCCATTCAGAGTCTTCTGGAGTGAGCCTTCTGAATTGCAAATCGAACCAAGTAAACACAATAATCCATGATTATTTGAGTGATAAGACACACATATGTGAAGTTTGTAGATGACACTATCATAGTTAGGGCAATTACGTATTCTAAAAGACTATTTTTTTTTATGCAACAACAGCTATCAACTTAATTAAAACACACATTTATCTAATTTAAGTAATTTTACCAACAAAACAAACAAACAGAGGAAGACACCCTGACTATTTCTATTTCATTTCCACTGAACTGGAGATCTTAGGTTCAATTTTTTTCTATTCTTACTTCATGCTTTACCTTTAGCTAAGAATTTGTGTAGTTTCCGGTTACTGTCACTTTTTACACCGGGTTTATTAAGTAGACATGGGACAACAATATGGTGTCACGGTTATCCTGAACAAAATAAATGCGATATTATCCCGATAATCATCAAAATATGCTTAAAGCTCTTGAAATGGCCAAAACATACAGCAGTCACTTTAACTTACAATTTGTTAAGAAACTAATATTTTTTTATTGCATGGAACACACATCTTTTTGTAGAGAACATCCTTTTTTAGTAAAAATATTAGAATCTTAAATAAGGTAATAACTAGTCTCCATGAATACATAAATACATTTAAAATAAAATAAAACATGTTTTGATTCTGTTCTTTCTTGCATGATAACTCCTGTACTTTTATATGTTGCAGCTTTTCCCTAAAAACAATGTATAGACTGATGCAAAAATAATCACAAGTGTGTGTCAATGTCTGTATCTGCAGAGACCCAGTGCCAGTATTTTCTCTCTGCTTCTCATTTTGCTGTGTTTATTTCTGGGCATCAGCCTTTGGGCAGTGGGTGTGAAGCCCCCAGCCAATAGCAGTGCGCAGGTGAGGACTTAATCAAAGCATAGCGACCGGGTCACGTTGCTGTCTCCGTCTCTCCTCTGCTCTCTGTTTGTGTCATGGATGTGTAAAGAGCTGTGGGTCTGTGTGTCTGTTTGACCCACAGCGGGGGTGAGACACACACATACGCACACGCCTCTCGCTCTCTCCATTCACTCTCTCTGTCCCTGTCTCTCTCTCTCTCTTTTTCTACCACGATAGCGAGAGCTAGACAGCTTTTCCAAGTCACATATCGTCCCATCCCTTTAAGTGAAATAGTAACATTTGCTGATGTGTTGTGGTGTCTTCTGGTCTAATATAATTGTAAAATACACAGGCATTTCCAGTTTGTGTTTGACCTCAATAAGTTGATGTTGAAGGTTTTTTCATGATAGCAGCCTGCAGCTCAGCTCTGGTCTCTTATCTTTCTTCTGCAGGGAATTAGCTATTATCTTAAACTTGACATATGTCACAAAATGTACCTTTTGTAAGATGTGACAGTCACTAGCAATGTCTATGATTCAACACAAAAATACAATTCCACATTAAACAATATGATAAATAATCATCCCAAGTATAAAGTTTAGCCTGTTGGTGCCATTACTGCCCAAAACAAAAGGAATCATCCTCAGGGGATCATGAATATTCACAGCAAACTTCAATGTTGTGGCTGCCAGACCCACAATGCAGCTGTGTGTGGTGCTTGGAAATGAAATATACCCACAAAGCCCTGCTTTTCAGCAAAATTGTTTTATGAGCCGTTTAATTTTTATACACTATATTAATGCCATTTCCTGTTTTTAGAGATTTAACATGTGACGGTCTTTGTCTAATACACTGTGAACGTTTGTGCTCATCAGGTTAATCAGTACAGTTCATGTTTCTTTATTTCTTAAAGACGGTAGTGTTTAGAGAGTGGAAAAACGAGTTATTCTGGTTAATGAAAATGTTTTTAGTAATGACAATACTGTCTTTTTTTGTGTGCTACGTTCAGGTGGAGCGGATTGTGGACAAGAGGCGGAACAAGAAGGGTAAGTGGGAGTACCTGATAAGGTGGAAAGGTTATGGAAGTAAGGAAGACACATGGGAGCCAGAGCACCACCTTCTGCACTGCGAGGAATTCATTGACCAGTTCAACAGCTTGAGACTGCACTCGCACAAACGCCACAAGGTTCCAAAAAACCGCCAAGAGCTCCTCATCACCAGCCAGCCATCTGCTACAGAAAACTCCAGAGCTCGGTCTGAGGCCCGAAAGAAGAAAAGGACTTGTGGCCCGGCTGTTGGGGTTAGAGTCGGAGCTGTTCTAGGGATTGGAAGTGGAGGCTCAGGACCCACTCAGAAGCAGAGGAAGGTGGGTGTTGGACCTGGGAAACATGCTTTAGGGGACAGAATTGGCAAAGTCATGACGTATAAGGCTCCTCCAACGGGAGGGCCTCACTTTGTTCCTCCTGTGAGGGTTCCTCATAACGGACTCCAGAATGGAGAGATGGATCCTCTCATGTACAGGACTGCAGCAAGGTCCCACAGACTGCCCTCTGACCGACTGGATAGAGAACTAGGAGGCATGGATACCACTGGACAGAAGTTCACCGCTGAGCTAGGTAAGTTGTTAAAAGATTGAATGAAATGAAAAATACAGCTCAGGTGGTTCAGGATTATTATTTTTTTTGACAGATATTGACATTGTCATCTGATGGTTAATATATGATAAAGAAAATATGATAACATTATAGCGAGCCACAGTGAAGCCCAAACCCCAAAGTTTTCTTACCAAATTAAGACAATAATATTTGATTTTAATATTTGTAATAATGCAAATGGCTACTTATCAAACTCTGGAACAAAACCTTTCTCAACAGTCAAGTAGTTTACTCCACATGTTTGGATAAGGATGATAATTTATACTTTTGTATTTATCCAATACTTGCATTTTAGCACCCTTTAACGGACACCATCTCCCATAACCATCACACATTGAAATGAGTCACAATTACAGTACAGGAAAGTGACATTAATAGTACAGGATAATGTCAAATGCTAAAATAAAATGTAACAGTAGCACAAGTAGAGGAGTCATAAAGTCCGCAAACTGACTCATTAGTGTCAGTTACACAGCAATATCTACCTAAAGTGTGTTAACGAGAGCCACCATTAGCTACTGATTCAGCTAGATACCGGACCACGTAAAGCTGTAGCAGCAAAATCTGTCAGTCTGCTGAGTTGAACAAGGGTGTGGGTGTTTGTTTTGGGTTTTTTTGCTTTTCATTTTCAAGAGAATATGGTTTTCTTCTTTTAAAGGTGACATAGTCTCCCTTTTAAAGGCCCCAGCTTGACAAAAGGGGCGTGTCTAATGTCCACGATTAGTTCAGACATTTCTGTAATAACAGCATGACAGAGATGAGTAAATGGGTTTGGAGACATCAGCGATTACAGTTGAAACATTGACAAAATGACATAAGAAGAGATTGTTGGTGGATATTGAAAAACCATGCTATAATGACGTAAATACCCTGGTTTGTAGTTTTTTTGCATTCTCATGAAGTAATCATTCAACTTTGTTAAAATCCCAAAGGTTTCAATTTCAAATAGCAACTGCTGTAGTTGCCAGTTTGTCTTACAAAATGGAAAGTAAACACCAGTAATTACCATTATAGAAACATATTTTTTATCTTAAATGTGGACTTAAATATAGTAAATAAAGAACTGTGAATTGTGAAGATATGAGCGGTGATCTTACGATTATAACATAGAACAATTGCCGGAGCACTCCCAGTCTCATTTCATAACTCTGAATCTCCAACTTCATCATTTCAGCGATTGTTATAGTTCAGTGAAACTGTGAGCAATCTATGTAATGGTGACTATCGTTTCTAAATTACCTCAACTACATCGTGGGCCTGTCTGTACTGCAACATCAACCATGCAGATGTACCGGCTCGTTTCTAATGGATAATGTAGGGGAGGGTGGACTTTTCTATATGGATATGAATGATACAGTTACTGAAAAGTTCCTCATATATGAGGCAGCTACATTAGATTAGATTGCCATGAAGAGTATTTTCTATTTCATGATGGATAAATTCTGTATATTTTAACAGGTGCACTTTTATAGAGACTTGTGCCGACACGCTCTTAAAAGCTCCCGCTACGGTTCTTTACAGGAGCAGCTGATAACGCCTTTAAATTTCTCTCCTGGGTCACAGTCCATGGCCTGCACCACTATAGTTAATCATTACATGCGTGTTAGAAAAGTCATTCACGGCTTGTTTAACAGAAAATCCAGATCAGAACGGTTTTCATTCATATCCGAATAAAATGAATATGCTTTGTCCATTCTCACTGTCCATAATACCCGTTAAAGGAATGTTTTGTCCTCTTGGTGCCGGGTACCTTTACTGTTCTTTTTAGCATGTGTATATTGGTATGAATTATGTGCTTAAGATGCTCTATCTATGATTTTTGGTTATGCTGTTTGTTATTTCCAAACTCCCATAAACCTCAGTCATGTTATTAAATGTTTTCAACTTATGGCCAGAATGTGAAGTTGAAAATAGAAAATTTCCTCTAAAGTTCTATGAAGAGTCCGTCAGATGTGCACTTATTTCAAAGCAGCACAACTTGATAGTGAGACCTTGTCCTCTCTATGTGAGAACATTAGGACTATCGAGCTAACCTGGTGGCTCTTGGTCTGGCAGCCATTATGGATCCTAATTACCTAACCCTTGAAAGACTACCCGCTCACCTCATTCAGCACCCTCAGCTCCACCCATTAATCTGCCGCACTGGCAGAGGGTGTCTCTGTGATTGTCCACTGCAGCAGAATGTGCACACAAGGTCAAACAATTTGTTTAGTTTTTGCAAAGGATTGTAAGAAAAGGAGTGCCATATATGACGACGCTGGTTTGTTTGACTTTTGTTCATGAAACATTGCCTTCAAATTTCTGTCTCAGCACAGAAAAGTAATTTCCATAACCTAAGGGGGCTATCAATTCATACTGCCATTGTACCTTTCAATAAGCTTTGGAAACACACGCATGGATGTTGCAAATGTCATTAATTTTACAACAATGATTGAGATGCTGGCATCTCCGTGACAGTCTGCTAGCTAATGGTAGCACTCTGCACCAATTTCTAAAAGCACCAATTGTCCATACATGTAAGGCATGGTGTTGTCGCGTGGCTGGAGCACTGTCAGTGAGACCAAAGCCACAGCCTCTTGTCCTACGACCATTTCAAATCACTGCTGCCACTGAAAACGCCATGTATCCAGGCTGATCTCTGTTTATGTATCCAGGCTGATCTCTGTTTATGTATCCAGGCTGATCTCTGTTTATGTATCCAGGCTGATCTCTGTTTATGTATCCAGGCTGATCTCTGTTTATGTATCCAGGCTGATCTCTGTTTATGGTCTTCCTTTGCAGACTTGAATTGAAACAGACTGTTCATCTGAAATTCCCTTTTATAATAAATATTGTAATGCAGAGTCAAACCCCAGATAATTCTGTTTGTTAGAAGAGCGAACCCAGATTTATTGAGTTTAACTGTAATTTGAATTGTTCGATGTTTGAGTTTGAGAAAGAGGGATGATACATTGCAGACATTTTATTGAGAATTTGAACATCTAATGGCAATTTCTCATATCTTCAGCTTTAATACCATTACTTGTTTCTGTAATACCCTCGAAGAACATGACCTGTTTTTTTCTCATTTAGTTTGCTATTGCTGTTTCTATCAGCGACCAACTCAAAAGTGAAGTTCTACTGATTTTTGAAGGGCCGACTGAAGCTTCACTGCATTATTCATGTTGAAATCACTCATGGTTACAAACACAGACTGAGGCTCCCATTGAAGGCTTTTTGGTAGTTTAAAGTCTGCAGCAGAACAGAAATACATGACTTTTTTTCTTACATATCACACCCACCTTTGTATTAGTATTCTCATAATTGATGTTAGCAAAACTGTTTTAAAAAAGGCATCGCATCACTTATCACTTTGCTCCGGTGAGAAAAACTGTGATTGTGTTCCTGAGTGATGTGTGGCTTATTTGTTTTTTTTCCTACTGCATCATTATATCTTAGATGAAGGACTCGCACTGCTTAACTCAAGGTTCTTTAGTCTTTCATCCATTCAGCTGATGGCAGTGCAGAGAGATTGGGTTACTCAGCTTTCACAGTAAGCTTTTTTGGAATGTAGGTGAATTGTTTTCATGATGGTTCTCTGATTGCACTGCACCCATAAGTCAAGGTTTCTCTGTGCGAAAAGGCCTGAAAATGATGAAAAGTAATGACTTCAAATGTGAAAGTTTCACAAAACAGCAAAAATATATTCAGCTCTGTGTATGGTATCCAAGCTTGAAATATTAATGCAATCAACAAAAGTCTAACTTCAACGAATCCCGCAGCGACGGCTAAGATGTCATGCAGAGAAAATACTGTCACATGACTCAGAAATAGGTGATTGCTATCTTGGTAAATTAGTGACATGCTGCTGTAAATTTCCTTAAAAAAGTAAATTTAATATAGAAAACAACTATTAAATTCAAAATAATCAACATCCCTGAGAAAACAGACAACTGAATTGCTACATACAGTATACACTTGGTGTGCATGTACATATATGACTCCATTCAAAGTTTCTTTTAATGACGAATTTTAGTTGCAAATAAAAGATCCAAACTTCTTGTTTTTCCAAGAAGTTCTGATTATGTTTTATTATACAAGTCGCATATGTTTCATGCTGCAATAACATCACAAATTCTCAAAATGTTATCTAGAAATATCTTCTAAAATATTTATTGCAAAAACAGTATGCAGTAGTTTTAGTTACAACCTTAATCTAACCAACCTAGGTTAAAAAATACAAAACATTTGACAGGTTTTTTTTAAATTAATATTTCAGACCATGTTTCTGTCATGGGGGGGTGTTCATTTTCAACTCCATCAGAAGGTGTCTAATAGCTGCACAAGTCTGAAAAGACTCTGACCTGTTGTGTCATTGTGTCAGGCTCCCCTCTGGCCAACGGCAAGATGCATCTACACAGCTCAGTAAAGCGGAAGTTGGCCGAGGAGAAAGGCTACGCGTTCGACAAGCGGCTCCGGTACAACGTGCGACAGAACGAGAGCAACTGTCGATTCCGAGATATCGTGGTCAGGAAGGAGGAAGGCTTCACGCACGTCCTGCTCTCCAGCCAAACAACAGACAACAACGCTCTGACACCAGAGGTGAGATCTCAAATGTACGTTTGTCCCCTATGTCTTTGTCTTTCTCTGGTATGCATCAATGGATCAAGTGTATGTATCGTTGCCACGGAGCTCTGTTTGGGAAATGTAAATGAGGAAAGTTTCCTCATTAAGTGTTGCACACATTCCCTGGAGCTATGCACTTACTCCCCAACTGCTCCAGGGAAGCTTTTTTTTTGAGAGACAACTTTTGAAAACTGGTTTTATTTGACAGCTGCCAGGTGTGAATATGTTGAGCTGGATGAATCCTACACAGGGCATTGTTGAAAAAGAGTGTGTGTACTCGGCAAAAGAAGGTTAGGAAATAGCTCCTGGGCTCTATCCTTAATACTGACACAGAATTTCCTCAAAACTAGTTGAGTAATTAGGGGTACATGTAATCCAGCATTATGCCATCTGTTGTTATTGCAGCAATTATTTCAGTTGAACTAGAGAAAAAAATGATGCAGAAGGTTCATAGAGAGCATTATGTAATTATTCTTCAAGAGAACTGGAGCCCCTAGAAATGGCCAGGTTTCTAAACATTTCCACTGCTTGCTATGTAGAAATAACACTGACATCTCTGCAAGGGATTACTACTTTGACGCTAACTTTTCTGTTTTGTACAATTAGCGTCAGATCATTTGGTTCAAACGGGCAGTTAGCAACAAGATATAGGGATCTCTGCCAGAGAAGGATGGAGAATCATGAAAATGTAATATATTTAACATGGTAAAGAAGAGGCCCAAACAATTCAACCACTTGTTTGCTCCACTTTTACAATGTTGTCCAGATACAAACGCAGCTGTTAAAACAAAATGATTCATTTTGCTTTTGCGATAGTAAAATGCCATGAGGACTGAAAACAAATGTTGGTGCTTGATGAAATGTTGACGCACAAAAAGTGTTAAGTAAATGATTGATAGATTGTTGATTTATTATTACATTGAAAACATGTAGATAGCATTGGGCAATATATCAGTAGTATATGGATATAGTGATATGAGACTAGATGCCATCTTAGATTTTGGATATCTTAATATCGTAATATGGCATAACTGTTGTCTTCTCCTGGTTTTAAAGGCTGTATTTCATTAAAGTGATGTCATTTTCTGAGCTTACCAGGATGTTCTGTTATTAGCCTTAACCCCGTCATTACATCCATGTTACTAATGATTTTTTATCAAACATCTAATTTTGTAATGGACCAATGATCAACCCTACAATATTGTTGCAATATCAATAGCGAGGTATAATATGGTGATATTTGATTTTCTCCAAATCGCCCAGCCGTACATGTAAACATGGACTTTCTATTTTTAGATTAGGTCTGCCGGTGGACCAGCTGAGTCTTCTCTAGAGGTGTTTAGGGTGTGTAATATTGGGATCTGGCAGGAGCGGGTTTGGTTATTAAGTATGAAAATGTAATTATTGATATTTATACAATTATTAATATCAATAGGATTATTAACATATATTAATAATAACAGGTCAGCACCCTGAGATCAGGGACCAATAACCAAACTGGATTACGTCTCAAAATTAGTGTTCACTCAAAATGTCAATAGTCAAAGTACTATTCCACATTCAGAGTGAACAGTGGAGGTTTAAACCCGAGCACTGACTATAACAACCAGCTATTATCACAACACATATACACAAAATATGCACAGAAAACTGCTCTTTGAAACTATAACCGAGTTTATTTATCTCTAACAATACTGATCAAATATCAATAATATAAATACTTATATTATATAATATACAAACATCGATGATACAAGCATACTACTTAAAAGCAACAAGCAATCACGTGGTGAGGGGAGTGTGCGTGTAGAAGAGAGGGGGGTAGATATATATCTATATGTATTGCATATATATCTTTATATATATATCTCTATATATCTCTATATCTATCTATATATCTATATCTATCTATATATATCTATATACAGTGGGTACGGAAAGTATTCAGACCCCTTTAAATTTTTCACTCTTTGTTTCATTGCAGCCATATGACACACCGTAAGGGTGTGTGTGTGTGTGTGGGTTAGTTTGAAAAGGAGAAGGAAAAAAAGAAGAAAGCACTCAAAACAAGACTGATCCTCACCGCAGCAGTAAAGCACAGTAACTGTAATTTTATGACACAGGAACCCGACTCTGCTCATCGTACCGATAAAATGCAGTCTACTGACTTTACTCGTGGTGGCGGATTTAAACAAAACAAAGCTCAGCAGTGTGGAACGAAACTATTACAGCGGCAAGAAGCTCAACAGTTATGTTACACAACACTGAACGGGGCTCGGCGGTCCGTAGCATACACAATACAATAAATAGTACAGTTAACCCAAACACGGTTACCAACACACTATGACCTATCTCTGCCCAGACCAAAGGAGATCACATTGTAGTGGTTGATGTGTTTCTTGGGACTTGTTCGGCAAAATTTCTCCTGCCGAGGACCTTGACATTGTCACTGACACTGTCGGCAGGTTAAGCGGCAATCTGATTCTCGTCTGGCGGTGGAGAAAACGGCAAATGTCGACTTGAAGAATCCGGAAATACCGTGATCTTCCTTCTGCAGGTTAAAGTGGGGGAGCACGGGGCAAGTTATCTGTTTCTCTTTTCAGGATCCAGGAACAGTCTGTTATTTGACCAGTGAATTTAGAACTATTAGGGTTTTTTTCTTTAAAGGCACCAACGTTGTTTGGACGGCACAGGGTGAAGGTATGCGCCGGTCTATATAGCCCTGGTGATGGCATGGTCGTGTCACAGGGACTCCCTAAGGTTCCCGTGGCTCTCGTCCAATGAGGCCACCAGCATTGTGGTTTGAACCAAATCTCACACACAGGTGAGATTTTAACGCCTGACGGCGAGTTGGCGCCATTCCACAGTTTAGGCTTTCAATTTTACATGCAGACGTCTATCTTTGTTCCAGCCACATGGTGAAGTCCCAACAGTTATCTACAAGCTGTGCTCATTGGCGTTTGACATGTTTTCTTCCTGTCTCCTCAGCAATCTGTCGATCACCTGCTAACTCCATATCAATCAAAGATTTCATGGCAGAACAAACCGTACATTCTTCATTCAGGAGTTGTGCTGTGACTAATTCTAATCTGTCACAGTGATGGATGGGGATGTACAAGGTCTATCGAAGCCTGTGATTGTAACTAACACTATTTCTGTTTTGGAGTGATTATGTGTAGACTTATGATTGCCACTGCCAGCTTGATAATGCTGGGATGTCTGCAACATGGAGTGTGGTTGAATGGCTCTCTGCTCTGATGCTGCAGTTTCTTGCATTGTGATGATCCACTTGTAGAGGCTGCCTGCAGGAAACTACCAGCCTGTGATTGGTTGCTCATTTCCACACTTCAATCAACAACAAGCTGCTCCATTAAAATTCCCCCTAGAAGTGTTCAGTCACTTGCTTTCAGAGTTCAGTAGATGCTTTCCCCAGTCGTTTTGCTTTGGGACTTTTTATGGTAACTATTGCAACATTTGGTATTCTTTTTAATTTGATAAAGATATGATTTATGAATTATGACGTTTTCACGATCAACATGCGTTTATGTTGCCTTTCCTCTGCACTTACTGGTATTGATCCTGCAAAGTGAAAAGGCCATTTGTCATTCAGGTCGATATTTACTTTGCTGATTTATTAATTAAGCATGTCATAAAGAAAATTCTAGTTTGAAAACATATTCTACTGCGAGTTGACAATTAGAAAACACTAGTTTGTTTTATACGGATTCCTTCGAGGTCTGTTAATATAATAGTGAGTTTAGCCACAGATAATGGTATACGTCTTAATCACCCACCACTGGATCATAAATCTAAGTGAACAGGATTGTCCTCCTGTCAGATTGTAGGATGTGTCTTAGATCTTCCATAGAGGGGGGTTCTTGCTTTGATACAACGACGTGTGCACGGCAGGTCGTCCTTCACAGGCAATGAAGTGGCCTAAACTGTGTCTGTGTGCGCACGTGTGTACTTTCATGTGTGACAGTAAGCCCCGTAAGCTGTGGGCTTATCAAACGGCTCCGATAGCTCCCTCTCTGTCGCTCAGTCTTTGAAGCTACCGGAACAAGAGAGCCTGCCGATGTGCCGACTGAATGGCTTTCGAAAATCTTCAAAAATATCCCTGAACATTTTTTTATCCAAACACTCCCTGAGCTCTTAAATTGTCCTCTTTCTGGCTTAACACACATTCCTGTGCTGTATGACTTTCTGATGATTCTATCAAGCAACACAATGAATACAATAACCGGTCATCATATTTTGCCGTATGAATGAACAGAGAAGTATTTGACTATTTATTTTAAGTGGAAATGATCTATATCAAATTGGAAATTGCTTAGATCTCTCTGAGACTACTTGACTGTGTCCTAAATCATTCCCCACTCACTGTGTAGTGCATCATATTCACTGTCTGCAATTGTATTATTATTTTATTTGAGTTCAGGCATTTCCATGGCACTCTACTGCTCTCTAGAGCAAAGTACTGTCTGTTCTATAGGGAGCAGTGAATAAGTGAACGAAGGAGTGGTTACGAGTATAGCACCAGAGAAAGACGAGCTGTGTCTGCTTAGAGAAATCAAAAACTGCCCTACAGAAAATGCAAAAGATACATAAATTAGCCTATCTGTAGAGAACTGAAACTGAAAACGACAATCTGTCAGACCTTCAATGAACAGAGCAAAACGCAAAGAAAACATGATTGATTGACTTATACCCACCCCTAAGGGTGTTGATTTAATTTCGAGGGAGCTGATGCTTGCTGCTGCAAGTTTCTTTGTTGTGGTTACCACCTTTGTTTGTCTATGAATGTCCTCGATACATCTGCTCACTGCACACCAACATCACTTTGACTGATCTCTTCTTCCTCTCTGTTTCACAGACTGGAACCAGCATCTGCCCATCTCTGCTTCTTGTATCTGGGCAGGATTTTTAATTCACCTTGCTTGAATAATGTCACTCTTATTCTCTCACACACACACCACATCCAGTTAACACTGGGGACAGATGATGTGCTTTGTGAGACATTTAGCATTAAATTCACTTTAAGGCTGAATGGTTAATATGGGTCAAGGGTTATAATCTGATTAAAATGCAGCAAGAGTGTGGGCAGATTGACTGCAGACAGTGATGTGGTGGTTTGGGATTCCAGACTTCTTATCAGGTCGGCTGTCTGACAATGTGGGCTTGCTCTTCTTTCTTCACATGAGACGAGGGCCAAACTTGTTTGTTGATGCTGAACGATGCACTGCTGAATTTTCTCTATCTGCACAGAATGCTATATTGTTGAGGAATCATACTGCAAGTGCTGGCCATTGATTGCTTTTCTTTGCTATTCTTTTGATTATTTCCTAAGAATTAATTAAGAGAAAGAGTAATTGGAGTCATTTATTGCATCTGATGAACAACTTTTCTTACTTATCCAGTTGGTCTCCCACTACAGCGTACAAGTTAATTGCCGCAATCAGGCTGTCAAGGAAACGAGCTGCCCATCGAGTTGTCATGTAAACATCTCATGTGCAGTTAGAGCTGCTCCGAGAGTAACGTTAGCATGCTAGAACCCCCAAAATCTCACTTTTAAATGTTATATATTTCCCATATATATGTACTTTACCAACGTTGTTTTCTTAAGCAATAAGCATTCATGCATTCCTGGTGTTTGTCATTATTTCTACACCTTTTTTTTTTTTTTTTTGTTGAGTGGATGTCGAGCCATGTTTCTCAACCTTGCTTCATGTGTGAGCCGAGTTTAGAATATAATTTGCATCTCCTGTTTCTTTTTCAGATCATGAAGGAAGTGTGTCGAGCCCTAGATAATGCAGCTGCTGATGACAGTAAATTATTATTGCTCAGCTCCGTGGGGACACTTTTCTGCAGTGGCCTGGAGCCCTCGTACCTGATTGGCCGTCTGTCCACTGACCGCAGAAAAGAGAGCAGCCGCATCGCAGATGCCGTACGGTGAGAAGAAAGAAATCTCTCCACTATGAACACTGACTCTCTTTTCACTTGCCATTAGACCTGACAGAGTTGGTGCTGATTGTTTTGTGGCCCCTTTAGGGAGTTTGTGTTGGCATTCATCCACTTCAAGAAACCCATTGTGGCAGCAATAAACGGACCTGCTCTGGGCTTAGGGGCCTCCATCCTGCCCCTGTGTGATGTGGTGTGGGCCAGTGAGAGGGCCTGGTTCCAAACTCCATGTGCAGCGCTCCACCTCACCCCCTCTGGATGCTCCTCTTACACCTTCCCACAGATCCTGGGCGTAGCTCTGGTGGGTCACCGCAATATCAAGGCCTTTGGCAAACCCCACTTTATCTAATTGATATCTATATCTTCCTGTAACCACCTGATTACCCTGTATTCATTTACCCAAATCGAACATTTGGATTGCATGCCATATTGAAATCACCCTCCTGTCCCCAATGACAGGCCAACGAGATGTTGTTCTGTGGAAGAAAACTCACAGCACAAGAAGCATGCAGTCGAGGTCTGGTGTCGCAGGTCTTCTGGCCGACCACATTTAACCAAGAAGTGATGCTGCGCGTGAAGGAAATGGCATCATGCAATGCAGTGGTAGGTCCTGATCTAGAAGTTTTTTGTTTTTTTTATGTAACCAAATGACATTCTCCACTTTCTGTGTGTTTTTTTTAAAAGGTTTTGGAAGAATCCAAATGCCTGGTGAGGAGTATCCTCATGTCAGTCCTGGAGGAAGTGAACGAGAAAGAGTGCCAGATGCTGAAGCAGCTGTGGTGTTCAACCAAAGGACTCGAGGCCCTCTTCAGTTACCTGCAGAACAAGGCGTATGAGAAGTGAGCATCCACACCCGGAAAGCTGAATCGATGTGGGACAAAGGTTATCTACAGACGGATATCCAGGATGACAACGGCGTGATCTCATACTAAAGGAATAGTTGCATTAAGGGTCTTTTGTTTCCATCCATCGGCAGAGGGGATTCTCTGGAGTTCTGTTTGCTTACATGTCCACCAACAACAACTTCATTAACTTCTTCCTTTGTCATCAACTTGTATTTTATATTTATTGGACCCAGAACTGTCCAGATGTTTATTCTAAGAGCAAAAGGGCCAAATGTGCATCGCTTAAATAAACACTGACCGAGGTTGTTCAGGGAGGTACAGAGTGTTTCTGTACATATGCGTGACGGATGTGTTTATGAAATTATCAGGAGGTATGAAATCAATGTATAGCACGTGATAATATATATTAATATATATTTGTTTGAAGTGTGTAAAAGAGTAACTTTCTGAATATAAGGGTTTTCTTTAGTTGCTTTTTGTTTTGAGCTGAAGTGTAAATCAAAGTTTGCATGAGGATGCTGTTTCTTGCTCCTTACGTGCACATTCCATCCTCTGTGGACAGAAGAAACCCGGCCCCAGATGCTCTCATACTACGTGCTCATTCATGTCACTGGATCACATTCGGTGACTGTTTGGAATCTCATGAAACACTGGATAATTGTTCTTTTTCATCACACTAGTCATAGTTCATACATTTAAAGTCTTTATTACATGTAACCGACATCTTGTTTGCCAGTAAATTTGTTATCATTATCATAATCACCATTCATTTGCTTCTGTTATATGAAACCAAGATGAATGCCCATGTACTAATGAGACCGTCTGGTGATTAGTGCATAAGTACATAACATATCCTCCTGTTGTCAACATCCCTCTGTCTTTAGTTATCAACTTCAACAAAAAAACACAAGCGTTAGATTCATCTTTTATTCATACAAATTAAATATCATTTAGGTTGGGACTTTTCTCTCAAGGGAGACTTGAGAATTGAAATGCAGATCAGAACGCTAAGTGGAAATGCAGAACGCTGGAAGCCTCACGGGAATGCCAGCACTAAATATACAATTGTGTCCATTCTTAATCAAGTGGCATTTTATGTTGAGTACAAAGTGACTTTAGATGATTCAATTAAAGTACGACATGGAAGGATCGGTAATGGATTGTATCCCATGAAGTTTCAGCTACATATAGTAGCTGTACATGCAGCGCTGTGGTGGTTCATGTATGTTTTACATGGCTTCTAGTTATCGATGCAGATAGTTATTGTGTGATCATCATCTTGATATTACCTGACAATTATTTCTTAGTTGTTTTTTAGAGCGCTCAGACGTGATGATAATCCTCAAGTTAATCACATTGTGACTACACTTATTATCAGTGTTCTATATTGTGGAAATGCAGCCGTCCAGTCGTGTAGCTGGAGTCAACTTTATCTGCATGTGATGATTCAAGAGTTAAAGAAATTGTGTATTGCATTGTGCATTATAAGTAGGGATCTAGTTTTATTTTTTTTTTTACTCCAAAGAAATGTAGATCTGTGAAAATTGTTTTGTAAAAATCTGAATATTTGTCCATTTTTGCAGTGGTACACATGCAGCACAGAATAATATATAGACTATGTGTTACTAATTGCATGTAACATACTGTACATATAGATGTGTTGCCTGCCTGGATACCAGGGTATGTTTTGTACAAACATTGTAAGTATTGTTAGAAATGGTGCAGTATATTTTTGTATTTATTAGAGATAACCGTTTGGATGTGCAGTGCCACGTGGTTTCCTTTGCTCCAGAAGCGCCCCGGCTCTCTTCATCACCATTTCTAAATTACACCATAAAATCTTTGATGGACAAACTGGGTCAGATCATTTATACCTATATAATTTCAAAACCCAAATGTGTAAACACTGTCACTTGAATGTTTACCTTTTCATTTGACATTTTCAGATGAAGTATTTAGTTGTAAATTATCAAAACCATGTCAGATAATTTAACGTATAATATTGTATTTTACCGAGCTTTAAAAGTTGAACAGATGATCAATGAAATGTTTGTTATTGTATTTCAGAACTGACAATTTCACGCATATTGGATCATTACTGCTCCATCGGGTTGTTTAATGATTTTCTGTCGTCCGTTTTATTTGGGTGAAAGGAATAGTTGCAATGGTTTGATGAAGCATTTATCACATTTAGGTCATTGAGTACACAACTAAAAATTTTTTTTTTTTTTAAACACCTTCACTTCATGAAAAATAAAATCATTTGTGGTTGCATTTTAGTGCGCCTGAAGTTGTAATTTATCTGAACTTGCCAGATCTATAATCACCTGAAGAAACTAACAGGCAGTTTGGCGACCAAAGACTATAGGTTTAAATAATCTCTCAGTAGTTGTGATTATTTTGTTTTTTTTTACAAGAGGGGTTCCTACATCTGCTTGTACAACTATGTTCCTTTTCTGTTGGAATCACACTTGGTATTAAGTGTGATTTACCAACAGAAAAGGAATATAGTTGTATATACTGTAGTTATATAGGGCCACAAAAGCTCTTGCTTGGCTTTAGGGTCCCAAGAAGAGGCGAGAGTGACCTGTTTAATGTGGCCACAGAATGTACATTTCTCAGGTCCACTGAGCGTTCATCGCTGATCCTTTAACACATGGGTCTGTATGTATTTATTAATTTTAGTTAGTATGTCAAATATTACAAATTATATTCAGTGTGTCACCTGAGATGTCAAATGCATTTATTTACTTGTTTTGAACTCTTAGTTTCTGTTATCCAAATTCCCACCTCAGCATGTTTGAAGTGTGCTTGAAATTTGAAGTAAATAAGCTATAACTAAAAAAAAAAAAAAACTACTCATTATTGCTCAATGATTTATTGCAAATGACTGTGGTTTTGACCTGTTTCTGTGTTTCGTCTTTTATAAACACATTGTGTGTGGTCTTATGTGTTTCATCACTCATGCCCCCCCCCCTCCCACATTGTCTCAAAGCACACCTTGGGGTGCCTTACAATTTAAATATATGTCAAAGATTGATCCATACATTGTGATGGGTAGAGTGAGCTGCTTCAAATAAAGAAAAAGTGCTTTCACCATGTGTTTTTGTCTCAACGTTTTTCAAACCGCTATCTAGGCATCTGGCGATAGAGTTCTAGTAATTTCCAGTCAGAACCATACCCAACATGACTTTGTGAGTGAGGTCACATATCGAACCCCTACGATACCTCCTAGAAATAATTATCAAGCAAAAATTATTTTATCAATAAGAAAATGCATGTTGAGTGTCAGTCTCTCAATGTGGTATTGCAATATTTTATAAATGATTCAGATATAAAGAACATGAGCTTCATTCTGAACTGTTTTCTGGTAACATCTTTGTCTTTTACCTCAGTTGCTGGACAGAGGTACTTTGATGTTTCCTGTGTTGATTGTGAGGAAGTAAGAGATACTCGGAAATAACTAAAATAGTAAAAGAAAAATAACAAACACAAAAGACCTTTGGAAACAATACCTAATAATGCAGGAAGAGGATCCAAGCTTAAAGGTCCAACTACTAATCATTTAGAGGCCTCAACAGCGTCTCCTGGTACTCACTCAGCAAATGGAGATGGCTCAGGTGTCATTTCATGACCTAAATGTGAACTTTCAGTCACGTGAACACCGAGGTCATCGACCAAGAGCAAGAAGACAGCCAAAGAAAGCTCGAGGACACTATCCTTAGACAAAGAGGGGTCATATGACTTGTCAATTATTTGTATAGTGCCAAATTATCTCAACACTTTTCATATAGAGCAGGTCTAGACTGTACTCCATTTATACTCTAAAATACTAACTGGACCTGTGAGCTTAGATTATCTTTACACCATGAGCAGTGTTTGCCTTTAAGGACTTTTCAAGACGTGAAACTCCTGATTGACACTTTGTTTTACAATGATGACACATTACGTCAAAGCATGGATTCTTAAATTTACTGATTTCACTTATTAAAAAGCAATCAAAATTGTGACAAATGAATACAATTCCCCTTTCAAATGGACTTTTTAACCATATACGAGTGTGTTCAATATGCACGTCCATGGTTGCATGTTTACTTTGAGAGTAAAACACAACCACTGGCCATCCTGTTTTGGGTCTTTTTTTTTTTTTTTTTTAACATGCATTTCTGATACCCTGAAATTGACTCTCCCTGTTCCCATGAATAAAACAGCTTCCAGAATATTCCTGATGTGTCCTGCCAACATAAATAATGTTTGATGAAAAGGTTCTTCCAGCAGCTACACTTATCTCTTTGATGGAGCTGTGAGGTACTGCCTCTTACTCATGTTTCAATCACAAAATATCAAAAGAACTTACACAAATAACAGACCGTGAGATCTTTCAATGCCAATACAATCCACACTCCTCTGAATTCACACAGAGACAGAAGTCGTAACATTCCTCTGGTGAGGCATGTTACAGTGTCATTCTTAATTCAATGTCCCATTTTCAGAACACTTTCAAATTGCAGCTCCAGAGGCAAAGTTTCAGTAGAATTGTCCTTCAGAGCTGCACAATGGGTTTTCCCTTCAGCCTCTTTTTCATCGCTTGTGCATGCTCCTTGCTGCGCTCACGCTTTTCCAGTCTCTGTTGAATCATGAGGAAACAAGGATGTATTGATTAAACAAGCCGTTATTTAAATACCAACGCTCAGAAGTCAGAGACCTTGTTGCATCTCATTCACTAAGTGCATACAAATAACTGACACACCTCTTCCTTTAGGCAGTGACGCATCGCGCGGTCCGCATCGTTACACGTGCCAAAGAACTTCATGACATTGTGCTGCGGGTGAGAGGAAACAAGATTTACATTGCTTTGTCTTCCGTGTGTATGAAGCACACAGCGATACAATGATGTAGAGCGTGACATACCTCTGTGTGGCACTGCATCAGGCGAGTTATCAACTCATTACACTCAGCCGTGTGCAGGTGAGGGGACAGGTCAGGGTGCATGCTGAGTTAAGGGCTTACTGTACCACTGCGGCAATACTGAAAACCCACAAACAAGAGGAGCACTGGTTGAAGGGGGATTCAGTTGAGTTACTGTTGAATATTACTGGAAGAGATGTTCTTTGGTGGCAACATATTTGCAAGTTTGCCTTCAAACACAGCTGTACCATTACAGAATAAGTTAAGACTGCAACAAATTGTTATTTTCATTTTGGTCTATTAAATGTGTCAAAAGTCTCATCAGAATTTACCAGATGACAGCCAAAGGTGACATCTTCAAATTCAACAACAATGATAGAAAAACAGGATATATTCTAATATATGGATCCAGTGGGTTGTGGTTGGCATTGCTACACTTGAGCAAAGGACATGTTTTCTAAAAGGATACTCATGCCTCCCCATCCCTCTCCATCCTGAGCTGTCATTGAGATGATAGGAATTGTTTTGTTTTTTTTTCTCCGGTGGACACTTACCTGCAAACACAGAGAGGCAGAATATGAGAGAGAGAGAGAGAGAGAGAGAGAGAGAGAGAGAGAGAGAGAGAGAATACAACAATGTGAAAACCCTGAATCCTCTGGAATAATGGTAACAAACCAGCCTTCACGAGAGGACACTGGGTCAGGGTACATGCTCCCTTGAACAGCCTACGAGTTCAGTTTTTACCATTGTTTTGACACAATAATGTTGTTAATATGCTCAAAACAGAGCGAACATGCTGTAAATATCATAGTTTACGACAACCTATTTGATAACAGTGTGCTCTGTGAGACCCTTACCTGTGGAAAGCCTGTGTCCTTTGAGAAGTTTGCCAGCAAGCCTCGGTGAAATGTCACGTTAGCTAGCGAACTGCTAAGCCTCAGCTAACGTTAACCGTTTGTAACACAGCAGGTTTAATTCATGCAACCACGGAGGAACTACGGGTCGATGTCCCTGTAGAATAACGACGCAGGTTGCTATAATTCCTCAACAATTTCGACTAAATCTGATGGCCTTGTACTGACATGAATGTAACCTACAATAACAGCAGGAACCTACAGTACACGCTGCCTGCTTTCGTAACTGTTTGGAGAAGTGAGTGACAATGGTAAACAGCGAATCGCCATCCGCCCTTTTTACTCATCCACCAATGGTGGGCGTTCTTCTCACAAAGGGGCGGGACAGTTGATGACGGAAGTTTGCGGAAGAGACAAGACGGTTCCCCGTAACGTACTTCCGGTTTTGCTTATGGATGCGCTTAACTTTAGACAGTTGTTACAGTGTTTTCGTACAGTGCTGTTGTGACAACTTTAGTTTATACACTGTGTATCCTGTTTTATTTTAGTCAAAGGCCATATAATGGCGAATGTTGGTGATGGAAATGAATGCTTGATTCCACTATATTGCACTGTTTCAGTCCTGTGGACAAAGCTTAACCAATGGGTTTCATGGTGACTGCAGTGTGAGGATCATGTGAACACTTTGTTATGAACATCAGACGCAAAGAGAAGCAGCAGAGAAAATGTAATAATTTAAATGTATCTTGACAATGGTTAAATATAAAGGGAAGGATATATTCTTAACTACTTTAAGTATATATAGTTACGTTTGATTTAGATTGATAAAGAAGTACTTATCTAACTCTGTATAAAGTAGTTAAAACTAGCTCCATCTCGACGAGCTATAGCAGCACAATGCTTTCATACATTAGTTTTCACAATGTTATGATACAAAGGACATTGTGCTGCAGAAACAGAACTTATATTTGATTTACTGACAAGACCTCTCTGCTTTTAGTTAAATAGGATTTGAAATTCATTCAAAATGCCTTTAAATTATTGTATTGGGGATTTTTTTTTGTAAAGGGTCTTACATACTTCTTCCGCCACTGTGCAGTTGGTAATTGTAGGTCGTATTATTGTAGTATCCGCAGCAACAGTACTAGATGTACTACCACTCCAACACAACAGAGGGCGCTAAAGGGAGCAGGAAGCGCGTGAGATTCTATGTCAGTATGTGATTGGTCAATTCGTGTGCTCGTTTCTCGGCGGTTAGTTTGGATTGTGGTACTGCTGCTACCGTAAGAGCTGGACGTAGCCGGCGGTTTAATTTAAATCTTCCAATACAACTGCTTAGCTAGATATCATAACTGTCTGGGGAAGAATGGATGACTCTACGAAACGTGTTCTGCAGCGAACGATGAGACGGATACCGTCTTACATGCTCAGAACAACGCTGGAGAAGTGGGGCCGTTTGACTGCGGAGCAGCAGCAGTCCATACATTGTATTCAGTCAAAATGGGCGATAACGGAAGCGCTACTGACCATTTGCGAGGTAAACGGCGCCTTTCCTGAAATATGAGTTGTTGTAGTAAATTGAACCCAGTGTAAAAAACATAGCAGTTAGTTAACCTGAATAGCAGCACGTTCCTTATCAAAAATGCTCAAAAATTAGGCAGTAGGCCGTGTAATGTCACGACACTTGATTAACGAACACTCGATAGGAATCCGTTTGTATTTAGCTAGCGTTGCTCTGTTTCCTCTCATTTAAACCTCGTTATTTGTAACGTTTCAGGAAAACAAGTTGGCAATGAAACACCTCACAGAACTCGAGATGATATGTAAGTCATGTGGCATTATCTAACCTACTCTGTAACGCCAAGGCAACCGAGCTAACTTCAGTCGTACCATGCCAATCCAATAACGCTTCCTGTGTCCCTCAACGTTGGTGTGATTGTCTCTCAGATATCATGGACAATCCAAACCAGGGGATGTGGTATGCCTCCCAGCTCTTGGACCCTGAAGGTATGTTGAAATACTTGTACCATGGAGGGCTGACAATGTGCAGCTTTTCATTCTAACCTAAACGCTGCAGCTGGTGGAGGGAACTTCCATCCATCCATTTTCCTCCGCTTATCCGGGGTCGGGTCGCGGTGGCAACAGGCCAAGCAGGCTGACCCAGACCTCCCTCTCACCGGCAACATGTTCCAGCTCATTCTGGGGGATCCCGAGGCGTTCCCAGGCCAGCTGGGAGATTTAATCCCTCCAGCGTGTTCTGGGTCTTCCCCGGGATCTCTTCCCAGTTGGACGTGCCTGGAAAACCTCCAGTGGGAGGCGTCCAGGAGGCATCCTAATTAGATGCCCGAACCACCTCAGCTGACTCCTTTCGATGCGAAGGAGTAGCGGCTCTACTCCAAGCTCCCTCCTGATGACCGAGCTCCTTACCCTATCTCTAAGGCTGAGCCCGGCCACCCTACGGAGGAAGCTCATTTCGGCCGCTTGTAGCCGCGACCTTGTCCTTTCGGTCACGACCCAGAGTTCGTGACCATAGGTGAGGGTAGGAACGTAGACCGAGTGGTAAATTGAGAGCTTTGCCTTCCGGCTCAGCTCCCTCTTCACCAAGACGGTCCGGTGCAGCGCCTGCTTTACTGCTGCAGCCGCACCGATCCGTCTGTCGATCTCCCGCTCCATCTTACCCTCACTCGTGAACAAGACCCCGAGATACTTGAACTCCTTCGCTTGAGATAGGCACTCCGTCCCCACCTGGAGGGAGCAATCCACCGGTTTCCGGCAGAGCACTTCAGGGAAATATCGTCAAATATCCTGCTGGTGTCTGGATCATCACGGTGTTTTTTTTTCACTTTTTATGGTCTGTTTGTTCCAGGTAATTATAAGCTGTTCTGATAAAGTTGAGTTTACTATTGCTTATTATTACTTATTGTCCCTTTTTTAATGTCTCATTTTTCCAGATGATGCTCACTCTGTAGACCTGATGCAGTTCAAGGAACAATTTAAATCCCACCTCAAAGAGCTTGTGAGACATGTAAGTCAGATACACCCCCCCCTGCAAAACACAAGTTAATTATATAGTTGCATCATTGATACACATTCTATGGGCATCTCTGTGTTTAACATCCTGTATTATAAGTATACTTTTGACATTGCATTCAAGGTGTCTGTCAAAATAAAGAAGAACACAGACCAAGCCGTATGGATTCGTATTGCGTGGGGAGACGCCTTCTCTCGACCCAACCACCTGAAACCAACATACGTCGTCCACTATCTCCAAACCCCGTACGTCTTTGTGACCAGCCTGACTTTAAAGCAGAAGCCCCTGTTGTCCCAGGTGAGGGTTGAGTTTCATGTTCAATCCAGGACATTGTTCGCTCAGTTGCCGGGTCGCCGTTTTTTCTGTCTTTTTTCATTTTAAGTAAGTGATGTACTTTGCAGGCCGTGGTTCTGTCCACCAGATATCGCGCTATCAAGGATGCTAACCTTAGTGGACGGAAACTCACTGCCATTAGGGACCTTCTGATGAGGACATATCAACAGGTAGGCTATTCAAACTACAACCACCATACAAAGCTCTGTATGCCCCGCTTAATTAAAGATTGCTGATAGGCATTGAACCCTTGACCTCAATGACCACCTGTTGAGGCAGAATGTAAGTTGCGATGTTCACCCTTTATGAACCTTAACTATACTTAAATATTTCCCTTTTTGTAGTAGAAGCTTGATTTATTCTTATGTTTAATATTAATAACACAAAAAGTTTACAATCCTAACAATGAACTGTGAACAGCATCGCACGTTGTTTTCATCCCTGTTTGCCATTAAACAGAAGTTCTGTTAAAGATGTTACAGTATATATATCTATTGTACACATCCATCATGTTGCCAAACTACTTCCTGGTTCAGGCTTGACCTTTGCACATGCAAAATATATTTGATTACATAATGTCACAGTTCATGTCTAGAGATCCACTGAACAAAGAGGAACTCTTAGCCTACTACTAACTTATTTTAACCCATGAGAGTTTTGTTATAAAAATGATTGGTCTGATGATTTATATTGGGAATTTTGTTTTAACTTTTTAATTCTAGGTGTTTCCCACCAAGTATCCAAGTCCTCTTACAGAAAATAACCAAACTATCTCAAGTATGTTAATCAAATCATTTGATCTGAGCAAAGCTGCTTTCATATTTTTTATAAGATCACACATACTTAAACATTGTTTGTTTTACCCTCATGTATTTGGCCTTAATGCGTTCCTCTGGAAGAATTCTGCGTAGTGATTCTGTTTATTTGGCTTCTGTCCCATTTACAGACCCGCACATAGAAAAAGAACAAGCTGAGCCTGCAGCAAACAGACTTCACATGGCCTGCAAGGCCTTTGGTGGTGGGGCGTTACCTCAGCTCCAGTCTGCAGTTTACAAGGTATCCAGAGGCATTTTGATGATACTGAGTCTCAGCCTTAAGTTGCTGTCTCACTATACCAGTTCAAAGATTGATAAAAAGGTCAGTATCGCTCTGTGCTGCGATCATCTTATGTTTTGTGTTCTTTCCTCAGCTGGAGACAAAGTTCAGAGACCACTCCAACAAGACCATGACGGAGCGGGAGGAACCCTTCAGATGTGTTGTCAAATTTGCAAGCACGAACCTCCTGGAGTCACTCAGACACTGTGCATCTTCAGGTATCAAGAATGTGTTCGCCACAACCCTATGTGTGTTAGCAAAGAAACAATACTTGGATTGTAAAACAAGTAAACATGTTTTATAGTTTTGGCAATTCCATAAATGACCACAAGAGAGCACACACTCTCTAGACTAGAGGAAATATCCCCTCTGTAATGCTCCTACAACATAATCCATCATGAATATGTCTCAGTCAGTGCATTCAAAGTGTTTTACCCCACTGTCCCATGGGTTATTTGTGATTATTACGTTTTTAACAATGCCAACAAAATCGTAAGCAAGTGTAATTTTTCTCTTTTTTTTTAATTTTTTATTAAGTATGATCAACTAATTTCAATGTTGTTTTTTACAGGAATTGCCTCCACCCCTGTCACACCTCTGCTCTCATGTATCCCCTTAAAAGGAAGAAATTATTTTGTCATCACAGACAATGACCCTGGTCCCTCCTCACAAACGCGCCAACCACAGAACTGATGGCCGACAGGCCCTTCATCTAAAGCATTCAGAGTGTGGCCCGCCATGTCCAGTCCCCACGGGGTTTGCTTTTATCATTCCTTGTTCAAGACTCTCTGCGTGCTTACAGTTGCAAACATGTCAGTAGTTGGCAATAGGTTATTGTCATTTTGTCATTTATTTTTTGTTGGTTTTTAAGTAGGAGAATGTTACTGTGATGAAATGTTTTCTATGTACAAATTGAATATAAAAGCAGGATTTTTAATATTCTTGTATTCTCTTCATGTCATTTGATCCCCACACTCGTCATCTGACCATCTTTTCTGTATTTTTCATTAGCTATAGTGTTACTACAATGTGTTGTGGAGTATTGGCTTTGTATAAAGGTCTGCTGGAAGGGAACCAGCTTTTCATAAGTTGCTTGTTTCAGGGTTCATTAAACTATTTAAAGGACAGGTGCACATTTTACAAGTCCGTCTTTAAACAATACTTAGATGCCCATACGTACTTTTAAAGAGTTTATGGTTCCTCCTGTCAAAACTACCAGCAAAGAGTTCCCTTCCCAACACAACTACACTGCAAGAGATGGGGTAGAGTCCACAGTCCTCGTTCTGCTCTAAAATGTATTTGTAACATACCACAAAAGTGAAAACAGAAGAATTTAAAAAACAAATTTACATTCAATACAAATCATTTTATATAAAATAAATCCTATACTTTTAGTTAAAAGAATTATAACCAAGGCATGTAGTGAGTGCACAATTTATGGTGGGCCAGCGATGTAATGGTGATACTGTTTCTATATAACTCCCGGCATCTCTGCACTATTTCTTATTACTTGGAGGCATACATAACCAATAGATCTGTGACTAGCGAATATTGGATAATTTAAGCTCAGGCAGTGTTGGTCAGGCTCTCATAAGACAGCCCACAATGGCCCGTGTATGGGTTTGCACAATTAAAGCCTCATTTTTCTGTGTGAGATGAACCTATTTTGACCGACACTTATGGATGGAGTAATGAGAAATGTTTAGCTTTTAAATACACTTTTCCAGCTTAAAACATACTGTCTCTGTGTCCCAATCCAGCGGCTGCATCCTTATGCTCACAAACCAAGGAGGAGACAGACGGTTCAGGCTGAACGAGAAATAATAATTCTAAAAGCGTTAAGCTATTTCATTTGTCACATAGAACACAGTATGTTCATGTAAACTGTATGTACTGTATGTATACTGTTTACTTACAGAGTGGCACAATAAAAATCAATGTATGACAAACTTTCTAAATGCATCTTTATATTAGAAACAATATAATATTTCTGATATAATTCAAAAATCTGACAATGTATGACAATTAATATAATATAAATATTGTGCAAGTGATAATTTAATATCTTTTTGATTTTCATTTGACTCAAAGGCATTAGTTAGTACTGTTAAGTATTGATAAATATAATATTACATGATATAAATAAAATGGAGAAAGCTTTAGATTACGGCCTGCAAACAATGTGGGAACCTAATTAATTATCATTATCATTTTTTATAACACTGCTGTACTTTTTTTTTAAATGATCATATATAATTTACCAACAATGGAGAGGCACAGATGATAACAAAATAAGGAACTACATTGACAATAACTTCAAGGTACATTTGTGTTTTTACTTGGCAACAAACAGAGGTAGAGGTAGAAGAGTACTGTGAGGTACCTTTGACAAATTTGAGTCATTGCACAATATCAAAATGAAATTATGATCTGATAGGTCTGTCATTCAGATTTTTAGGCAACCAAGAGAACACATGACCCGTTACTCAAATTCGGAGAGAGCTCAGTGACAAAATTGATAACATGCAAGTTGTCAATCGTTCTGCTGTCCTCGATGGAGCAATTAGGGGGTTCGGACGGCTCTCCTATGACCCAAATAAAAAGCTGTCCATAACATTTTCCGATGACTTTAATTTATCAAAAATAGTGTCTTTCACACATTTTAATCAAACATCAAATACCAACATAACATGAAACAAATACTATAAAAATACATCTCTAAACCAAGTGTGCAATTTAGCATTTAACTGAAAATAAATATTGTGGTTTCAGATTACAACCAAAAAAATCCAACACCTACATGATTTCAATTCTAAATCCAAACAACGGGCGGTCAGATCCGCTGTTAACTCGTAACGTTACCTTGGACGACCAGGACCGTCACTTTGAGTTGTTAGCAGAATCCATCCTTGTGTTTGATGTTGAGGTTGCTGTAGAAAAGAATCAGTTGTGCCTGTGTGATGACTCTAAGAAAGTTGGGCAGTCTTTTGTCTTTCACCACGAAGGACCACATCAATCTAGAATGGATAGTCCTTTTATGGTGCCATATGAATGAATATGGTGAAGTGTCTGGCTAACCCTTGTGTCGTCTTAGGGGTCAAAAATGACCCGCCACTATGTTTAACAGCATAAGAAACCCCTTTAATGATCTTTTTTCAACTTGAAATTCAATGACTTTTCCTAGAATGACCCCAACATGAGAAAAAGTTAAACATTGCCTTTGTTCATATTTCCATAAAAGCTGTACACCAACAGGGTACACATCTTGTCTTCGGGGTCATTTTTGACCCGGCAGTTATAAAATCAGATTGGATGCTGTGCACGACGTTGAAGAAGAAGTCATGAATTTGGTCAATATTAGCAGTAACAAATAGCTGATCACATGCCAAATGGCCAACTACAATTTATAGTAATAAATGCATCTTCATCTTTAAAAAAGACAGAACAGAGCTATGTCGATCCAAGTTTTACTCTAGATGCTGGCTTTTCTGCTAAACAGCGCATGCAGATGATATTTCTTTCCTCCCAATTTTCAATGAAGTCGTTGCATTGCAAGCGGAAGTTCTATTTACCTGATTTCCTGTTACACTACAACAACTTCCAGCCATACCAAAATTATTTTACACGCAAACACTCAGATACCCCTCCACAATGAAGTAGGCTCTCTCCTGTGTGCTTGGTGTGAACATTTTCACGGTGTATGTGCTTGTTTTCAGTGTGTGTCAACATTTCAGTGCATGTGTGCTTGTTTTCAGTGGGCGTGTGTGAACATTATTAGTGCATATTAGGGGTGTAACGGTTCGCAAGATTCACGGTTCGATACGATACAGTGGTGCCATGGTTTGGTACGTTTTCAACACAGCAGAAAACTAGAAATGCCAGAGAAATGTCCTTGATTTTAAAATATATTTATTCATTAAAACTAAAGTTTTAAAGTCAGAAAGTTTTTTTTTTTACTTTGAACAATGATGGAACTATACCTAAGTGATTCATCTTCTTAGCAACACATAAAAAACAAAAACTTCTGCTTAAAAAAAATAATTTAGTGTTGTTACTTAACATCACCATCACAATTTTGAAGGAGTCTTCGAAATGGGACAGCCTAGTCGCAGCCACTTTGACGCAACCGGTCTACAAATGCAGCCTCTGAAGGATGCAGCCGCTGGATTGGGACACAGCTTCGTATACCAAACGGAAGTACACCATTATACCGGATATGACGTAAGCTCAGCTGTCGACGTCCCAGCCCTCTTGGCGAAGCAGCCTGTCAGACAAAACGGAGGGACCTTATTCTACTCTTCATTCAATGCTGCTACTGGGGTTCGCTGCCAAACACAGATGGACTGTCAACACAGAAACATGGCTGCCTCCGCGACGAGCAAGGCACAAAACAGAGAGAGCGCAACTACTGGCAGTCCGAAATGTCACGAAGAGTCTCTGTCGCAGTCACGGGACATAATACAACCCACCATCACGGAGCTGACCAAAGAAGTGAGGACGAACATCCTCTGCACCGTGGAGGGATGTGGCAAGATTCTCCCCAACACACCTGCGTTGAACATGCATCTCGTTAAATCACACAGAATAAAGGTAAACGCATCCTAAACCTGGTTAATGTTCACATACTTTAGGCTTTCACGTAACTGCAATGCTAACTTGGCTAACTCATTATCGGGGGAAAAAAAATAAAACTGGAAAACGCAAGTCATCCATCACAACTTATTTTTAGCTAACGGTTTTAGCACTGGTGATGCTTAACAAACACGGTGTTATATTTAACGTTTGATAAAAGTTAGTTTTTCTGCGAGTGGAGCTCCGTAACGGACGTTTTGCTGTTATCGAGCTAGCTACATTGTAACTAGTTAGCTGACGTCATCAATGAACGCTGATGGTTTGGATCGCATGTGATGGTTGAGGTTTAACGTCAGTGCATTGTTTTTACTCTTAGATTCGCCTTTTTGAACTATTTGTAGCCGAGGACATGAATGTGTGGAGTATCTGATTTGGCTGTGCTAGAGTACACATTGATTAGTTAAACCTGTTTTATTTTTTTACTCTAAAGTAATGGTAAGGGCCTCTTCACCTTCTTTAAAATACGACCACACGAGCACTATTGCTTGTCTGATTGTAGACAGTCTGCTCCCAATACTAAACAGTCAGTCAACACGTTTGGACCCTGGTTCTTCTGTCCTCACTGGTCCTGGGCTTCTCGTGGGAGGCGGTATTTCACTGTGTCCCATCCATGAATGAAGTTCTTTGCTGGGAAAGGCTGCCTTTTGTCCTGCAATAGACTAAGCTCTTTGTTTAAAATAGGTGAATGTGAGAATTTTAAATGAGGTCTTAGAAGTAGTTCATGTTGCGCAGCTAGAAGAGTGTTTTAAAGGCCCGATCAGGGGTTCTATATGTAAATTAAAGGTACAATCAGGTATATTTGAAAGTTGGAGTCTGTTTTGTAGTCGGTCCTAATCTAAATGTAACTTTGATTGTCTATTTAGTTGCTGTTCATGTTCATTAATCCTTGTAGGCCTACTGAAAGACATGTTGATTACTTTGAGAGTAACAGCTGATTCCAATCCTGTAGGTTGATGTTTCATTGCCCACAGATTGTGCTTTCTAAGTTGTGCAAAGAGAGATAAGGAGCATGCAAGCTGCATATTATTTTTAATTTACAGCTCTGCAAGACTTCTGTCAGCAGTGGTAATGATATCCTGTTTGACATGATGCTCACTCTGTATGCTTTGTCTGTGTTTTTATTACGTCTGCTTACCTCCACTGTAGCTTTTCTGCATCAATGCACAGAAGTAATGAGATAAATAACTCACAACCTGGCCACTTAAAAGGTCATGGACTGAACCTGGTTTGGCAAAGATAGTAAATCTTGAGTTCTTCTTCTTCTTCTTCTGTTGGGTCACAGCCAGCTGCTGGCCGATGACGAATACTGCCTTGACACGACTCAGGCTTCAGCCTACGACCAGATGATGTCACCAAAGCCAACTGCAAGAACATTTATTTTTAGCAGATTGTCTGTTTATGCTAACAACTCGTGATAAACCAGAGGGTGTCTGTCAGCTTTAGCTCCAGTGCTACAGCAGATGGAGGTGACCCTGACCACTGGAAGGCTTCAGCATTAATGACTGTTATGGAGGGTGATGGGTTGTCTGTTTTCAACGTTCATTCACTGCAGCTGCCGTTACTGTATTGAGTATTACTTTGTATGCTATCCATTGAATTTAAAGGTTCTGTATGGGATTCAGAGCTTCACCACTGCTGCCTTTGTTTTCACCGCTGTTGCTTTTAGCACTGTTACCTTAGCCGTCTTTGTGTTGAGAGCAGTATGGAGGCAATATATGCTCTGAATTCCGTATTGAGCACCTTTTTAAATATACAATGTGCTGAACGCTGCTTTAGCAAGTGAGCCTCGGGACTACAAGAGAAGCAGTGGTGCAGCAAACTGTTGTATCCCATGTGCTGCCCAGCAAGCTCATGTATTTATTTTTCAGTCATGTGAAGCAGAGCCTAGAAATATGGTAACATTTTGAATACACATCATATTTACCCCCTGACTAAAGAAAGCAACGCCATGTACAACCAGCACTTTATTTTCCAGAGTCATGGTGACACCTTTAAAAAAAAAAAAAAAAAAATGAATAGAAATTGGAATAAAAATACAACATTTTGTAGTTGTACAGCATAGTTGACATTGAGTACCTTTTTACAGCAGTTACTGTAATAAATGTTGTAGGTCAAGTAAAACCTCAGTTCAGCTTAAATCTTGGAAAGTCTTGCAGGCCTTTCTTTACTTGGTGATCAAGGAATTTACAGTATTCTTTAACACTGCTGCTTAGTAAGGGTATGATATAAAAATCCAAAATGTTAATATGTCTCTGCTTTGTCCTCTCTCTCTCTCTCTTTTGTCTTCCGCTGCCATCGTCACCCTCAGGACGGTATTGTGAATCCTACAGTCAGAAAGGACATGAAGGGCTCTCAGAAGCTTTACTGCTGTCCTATTGAGGGATGTCCCAGGGGGCCCAACAGACCCTTCTCCCAGTTCTCCCTGGTTAAACAAGTAAGCCTTTCCTCCAATGACATGTAATCCTATCCACGTGATCAATTACATAACATTATGAGGTCTCAGTTCTGCAGGAATGGCTCCTAATGTATAACTCGGCACCAAATATGTTTCAAAAATCAATCTTACAGGAGTGATGTAAAGGAGGATAAAAGATCTTTAACCCCTCCCGCAATACTGACTATTAAAGAAGTAACAAAAATAAAAGCAAGTGTATGCAATACATTCTTTGGTCTTTCGTCTGTTTCATTGTAGCACTTCATGAAGATGCATGCAGAGAAAAAACACAAGTGCTTCAAGTGCAACAATGGCTACAGCACAGAGTGGGACCTAAAGAGGCACATAGAAGACTGTGGGAAGACTTACCACTGCACATGTGGCTGCCCCTATGCTAGCAGGGCTGCTCTACTCTCGCACATCTACAGGACGGGTCACGAGATTCCTACAGAACACAGGCATGTACCCGCATGGCCCAGAGTGATTTCTATTGAAACTTGGGTTTGGCTAAACATTAATGTGGCTGGCTTTCTCTGTGTCTGTTTTGTTTCTTTCACAGAATCCCTCCAGTAAAAAAGCGAAAGATGGAGAAATTGCTAAGTGGTCCCGAAAAGCTTAAGACCAACGAGTCAACCTTTCAGATCATGCCTGCCAGTAAAGAGCTGACGGAGGCTGTGCTCTCTTCTGATACAACGGTTCATATCCCAGACTCGGTGAATCAGAACTCCAACCCCCGCAGGAGCCTCCAGAAGTTGCTGCTACCAAAGCCCAAGATGGCTTTGGTCAGTGTTCCTGTGATGCAGCTGGCCCACTTGCCGGTCCTTCTTCCGTCTACAGAAAGCGGGGCTCTGAGGTCTGTAGTGCTGGCTGTGGACAGCCAAGGCTCCGTCAGCACCCTTCACCTCCTGCCACATGGCACTGTGGTCCCCCAACTGGATGCTAAGAGTTTGTGTTTCAAGGACAGCATGCCTACTTCGCGCTCCAGCCTGGGGCCCATTAGCACCGGGGTGCAGGTCAGTCTGGACCCCGCCAGCACAGATGACTTAGCCAGCCTGGCAGAGCAACGGGGAAGAAGCACCTCCACCAACATTCAGACGGACAAGTCGTACTTGTCGAAAGTGTTTACAGGAGTGGGGGTCGGGGAGGGAATGGGGTTCTGCTCAGTGGGTGAGTCCTCGGTGTCGTCCTGCTCCCAAACAGACATTAGCGTGAGTGCCCAAGTCCTCCTGCCAGTCAGTGTTGAAACCCAGACATTCTCCTCCCGGACTAAAGCCACATCCTCCATTGGAGCACAGACAGACGGCCAGTGCATGGGGCAAATTCCTTGTTCCTCTTCGTCTGTACACCCGTACAAAACCAGGCAGACACAGACATATTTTGCCCTGCCACAATCGGATGATAAGGCTCAGCAGCAGGCCATCATGTGCTCTGACCTATTCGACAGCGACTCCCTCAGTGTCTCCACTCAGACCGCTTTGGACGTAAATGACACTCTCACCGGAAGCAGTATATACGAGGACTCTAAGTCAGCTGGTGGTATGTGTTTTGGGGTGCAGACAGATGAGCTCAACTCCAACAACATGGCCGATAATCAGACCCAAACGATGACCTTGTTAAATGATTTAGAAAACATTCTGTCTGACAGCATGTCGGGCCACCAGGTGCTCACGGTGGCATCTGAAGGCTGCGGGTCAGTTCTGGGATCTGTTCAGGAGCAACACAACGGCATTGACTTTGACTTCGAGGAGTTTCTCAATGCCGTGCACATCCAGACACAGACGGAGGAGAGTGAGCTGGGAGGACTGGGTGGTGACACGCCGCTGGAGTCTCTGGACATCCAGACCCAGACGGACTTCCTTCTGATGGATGAACTGGACCAAAGTGAGGGACCAAGTCGAACCCAGGCCAGCGACCTGGAGCTGTTTGACACTCAAACTCAGACTGACCTCAATTTCCTGCTGAACACCGGAAGCCACATGCCCCTCGGCAGCATTCTGCGACATTCAAGCTTTTCTATGAGCACAGAGTCTTCGGATACAGAAACGCAGACGGATCTCCCTTTATTCGCCACAGGTCTCTCCGCTCAGACTCCCGCGAGTCAGGGTGAGCACGCCAGACTGCTGAACAGCACAGAGACACAGACCGTGACTAGCCATGCGGAGGGCCTGGGTCACCTCTTCCTAACGAGCAATGAAACGCAGACGGTCATGGACGACTTCCTGTCAGCAGACCTGGCGTGGAATATGGAGTCCCATTTCAGCTCTGTGGAAACGCAGACGTGTGAGGAGCTGTGTGCTCTCTTTCAGCACCCTGAGAAACCCAACAGCTGAAGCCCTCTGTGACTCTAAAGCTTTTGCAGTACAGGTTTCTCACGCCTGCCTGGTCCTGTGTGAGGAATCAGTCAGCGCTGTCCTCCAGCGGATCACCGTCTTAGCAGTAAGAAGTCTGCGAAAATGTCTTTGAACATTCCACTGGAGATGCCCAGAGCCTCTCCAGGTCCATATCCTGACAGCTCGGCTGCACTTTATTTGCTTAATGGGCATGATTCATCAGCTCCTGTGACAGTTTACATATTTATTTGCACATAAAGTAATATATATTGTATGTGTATTTTGTCTGAAATGCCAGTTTACTTTAATATTTCAATGTACAACCGCTATGACTGGTTTTCACTGTTTGGTCTTACTAGCAGTTTAAAAATGACTCAGCATTTCGTCAATGTAAGATCTGCACTTAAAAGGGATGACATCTTTAGCTGTGCGTGGTTGTCAGAAAAAAAAAAAAAAAAAAGGCTTATAAATGTATTGGTCTGTACGACAGATATGCATATTCTGCATGGAAACAATGTCATCTCAGGTGTACAACAAATAACATTGTACATTTAGTTTGTCTGGAAATGTGCATGAAGCATTCACTTGGTCAGCAGAACAGAAACCTAATATATCTACTCTCAGCTTGTGCATCTAATGGCTGCCTTGTTGATGTTGCCTTGTCAGCGGCAGCAAGACTATAAACTCTAATAACATCCTGTAAGCTTTGCCGTCAGTGGAAAACTTGACCGGTGGAAATCGGCTTCATGTTTTCCAAAATAAAACCCCGTAGAGCCTTTAACGGTGAACAAGGCTTTGCTCAAAGCCTCTGAAACATAGCGTTACACATACAGATGTGGCACAAGTAAAATTGTTTGTCTTGTAAGTTGTTGCGCAGCTTCCATTGAAACGTGATGGTGAAGTTTGATGTTGCTTAAAACACTTATTTTGTTTTTGTGTCTGGGCCTCTAGCGAAGCAGTCGGTTCAAGTCAGTAAGCAGACTCTGCTGTAAATGTGTTTGACTTATTCATTAGCTGGGTGTAAGTGTATACAGTCGCAGTACTCCAGTAATGTTACTGTACAGAAACACATAGAGCTATCGTATGCATTCACCACCTTATGTTGACTGAAAGGAGTCCTGTTAAAATCAACAGATTTTCCACCCTTATTGGACGCCATATTTTAATTTATTTCTTTTTTTAAATGTCTCCAAGTAACTTAACTTAATGTTTTGCTTTCATGATATTGTTGCACTGAGTTACCTCATTAATCACAGGCACCACACTCATAGAAGCTAGAGCTAAAGGCCTTGATTACATTTTGTTTTGTTGGTGCCTTAACCCAAGTATTAGCTTTAGTTCTGTTACAGACAACGTGCTGCTTTCAAATATTTAATAATTATCTGAATTACTTTGTTTTGGAAAACGAACAAACAATTTTGGTATTTTCGTCATGTTTGCGTGAAATACTCTCCCCTTATCGTCAAGATTTCTGTTCTGTCACATGAAAATAATGCTATGTGGCATTTTATTGTAGTTTGACGGGTTTCATTGAAGGGTGTAACAGCTAATGCTGTTTAAGTTTTTACAAACTTTGTGTGTACAAACTGAAGGATGTACAGAACATGACACTGCCCAAGTTTAACCCGCATCATGTCCCAACAGTTGAAGGATCATTTCCCTGTTATAATAAGGACTTTGCCATCTCCACAGCGTCTCCCTGCTGGCTGAGCGGCTCAGGGGTTTGATTTGCTTTCAGCAGAGCTATGTAGAAGTCAGTCTCAAGTGTCAATGCCAGTGCTTTATTTTCTCTTTGTAGGGAGTGCATGCAGATATTTTCCCAGCACAAAATATTTGTTTCAGCATAATTTGAGTTTGTTGCCTATGTGTGTAGAGTTGATGGTTGCCTTGATTAATTGTTGAAGCTACACTACAGATGTTGTTAATAAACTGCTGGAAAGTGTATATTGTGCTCCTTGTCACTTACATTAGAACAAAGGTGGAAGAGAAACGATACAAAAAAAAGACGCACTTAAATTAGTCAGCTTGATCCTTTAATTGAGCTCTCAGTTCAGCACAGTGGAATAAATTGCACAGATGTTTTGGTGATGCTTTCTTCAATATGTAATACATTTAGTTCTCCTGTAGTAAACATATAAACGGAGCTAAATTAATGAGATTTAATTGTGCAGACCCTTTTTTCTGTACATTTCATTATAGAACAACATGAATCATATCTTGTCTTTTATCTTTTCACTTTGATGCAGCGGCATCTTACTGAATATAGACATGCTGGGTCCTGGCTTGTGCTGAATATAGCAACTCTTTACATACTGTATGTGTTAAGGGACCATTTCATTCTACATGCACATTCAGGTAAGACTGAAGTTTTGTCTATTTAGGTTTACACGACAGCTCTTTTGAATATAGAACAATCCCACTAAGTGGATAATTTACTCCGGGCAGTTAAACAGAGGTAGAACAATAAAGCAATGTAACCAGATCATACGAGTTGTAAATAATGTTGGCTGGCCTTTGGATACCGACATGAAGGACGTCCGCATAATGCTGCACTGATAACCCTGAGAATCCATCCACAATCATCAGGAATCACTCACTTGTACACAGTTACATTTGACAGAGCAGATGCAGTAGTTTGGCAACCCATTGTGTCATCACGTATGGTCACAGGCTACACTGCAACGCTTTAGTTGTGACAGATCTGTAGCTTGGGGCTGATGTTTTAAATAGAAGGAAGTGTGAAGCAGGTGCACTGCTATACTTCTGATGAGGTAGCTGCACCGTTGCTAGGTAACTAGAACAGCTGAAAAGGCACTTGTGGGAACTGGTCCGAACAAAACAAAAAGGCACAAATGACACGAATAGCTTCACATTTAATCTGTTCACTCGACTGTTGTGGGTAGTATGTTCTGAAATATGCCAAAGGAATTACCTCTGCGATTAGTTACTCTTATGAACTTGTCTCACCTTGATTTATTCTTCCAACTAATTTAATGGAAATATTGTCAAATGTGGTGAGTCTGAGGCATTCATTATGAAAAAAAACAAGATAAAAGGTGTTTGTACTTTGTTGAACCTGAGCATTTCAAATGATCGCATACTACATACACACAGTCTTGCTTGGGTACGAATGGGCTTGTGCGTCTGATGCAGTGCTGGAGGGGAGGGCCCACGTGAGGCTCTCGGCCGTTGAGTAGCTAGTGTCAGGTTTGGAAGACATAGATACTTGATACCTCTTGGGTATAGAAACACTCACAGCGGAGAACAAGTGGGGGTTGTGCTGACATGTCTGGTGCTTGGCGGTCAGGACTGCAGAGGGAGGCTCTGGGTTAGCAGTATGGCCACTCTAGCTCCTCTCGTCCCGCTCCTCGCATCCAAGACGAAGCAGTTTTCCTCTATGGTTTCTTCTTCTTGAGCCTTCCTGCCACTGCAGAGCTGGCCACTGACTGTCTGAGGAATCGGGGGTATTGATATAATTGGTGGCAAATATGTGATGTTTTTAACAGGAACCACCGTATTATTGGGTCTATACCTTTGTTTCTGAGGCTTAGTGGCTCCGTTGTTCGAGTATTTCGAGGGGAGATGGTGAGGCTGCGAACACGTGTCCCTGAGCGTCCCTTCCTTCTCTATCTTTTCTTTGAGCGGAAGTTTTGAGGTGGTTTTCTGCAAAGGATTGAGGACAGACCATTCTGAACCATCTTTCTGCAGAGCTTCCACAACAGTGTTACCCCAGGATCCCGTGTGCTGGTTTAATGGGATGGGTTTCTTGAAGCTGTTATGCAGACCCACATGAGACTCACAGCGGCGCTCTGCAATGCTGGTTGAGCTGTTAGCATCGAGGATCGTTGGGTCAACAGTCAAGGGCCTTGGGTTGTCAGCATGCTTTGTTTTGTTGTACCTCTTCTGAGTCGAAAGTGTGCAGCTCAGTGGAGCAACTCTGGCCCAACCATGAACCTGTTTTCAAAATAAATATGTTTAAATGTTTACACTAAAAATGCACCAACATAATTACTTATTGAGCCAGATGTTAAAAGTAAGTGAAAATGATGCTAATAATGACAGTGGGTGAGAGAACTTTTACTAATATAAGGGGGAATTCTATATTGAAAAATCATTAATCCAAAATTGCAGCAGATCATTTGATTTTGCCGCTGACTCCAAACTGTGATAGAAGACACCTGCATACATTGTTGGTACAACCTACTTCACTTAATCAGATTAAGGCAAGGTTTGCTGTAAGAAGATATTCATTCACTTACTGCCTCTTCCCAACCAGAGTAACAATTATACTCATGTGGCTCCAGTTCTTTCATGAAGTCCTCCTCACTAATATCTAGAAGGACATCAACATGTCTCCTCTCTGGTGTCTGCTCCTCAACTGCTTCCTCCTGTGTTGGAAGCTCCTCTTCTGATCCATTCACAACTATGTGATCCACTTCTTTTAATGTCGCCATTATGCAGTTTATCCCATGTGCTTCATGGTGATATCTAGAAGAAGAAAAAACAAGAATATACCAAAACAACCTGTAAGAGGTACATTAAGCTGCACAAGTCAAATAGTTTTGTTTTAAACGTTAGAAACGTTACACCAATCTTTACTCACCATCTTCAGTCTCTGTAGCATTTTAAATGTTTTTTTGTCACTATTCCCATATTCGAAAGCACCATTTACAAACAACAACTGCCACCACCCATCGCGGGGAGGTGTCTTTCCGGTCGACAGAGTTTTTCCACAGAAGCGGTGATTGCCTTTCGAGACTAGCAGCAACACCGTCGACATAGCAACCCGTAGAGGCACCGGGAAGAAGTGACGTAGATAAAAAAGAGGGGGGGGGGGGACTGAATGCGCTCCAGGTGAATTATTACATCTATGTTATGCAATACGTCTTAATTTACACGGTAATCATGTGATGCATGTAGCAGTAGAATAGAATGGAGTAAAACAGAATAGAATAGAGACTTCATGAAGTCGTATTGTATTACCACATTACAGATAATGCCCAAAATACAAACATAGTGTGTTTAAAATCAGTCCTTTATTTCCTCATTTCCTATTGACTGTATATGGTCATTTAGACGCCTCATTGTGAAATAAAGGAAGTTATAACCGGTTTGTCTCTTGTGAAGGAGGAAACCATTTTGGTTTGTTGCAACGTTCAGTTCTGCACGTAGAGCTCCTGACTGCAGACGTCAAACTCGTCAGCTGTGAAACGAAAACGAGCGATGGTCGCTGCCGAGAACGACGTGTCTCTCTTTTAATTATTTTTTTGCAATAAGCAGAGAGTGTGATATATATTTTTTCACACACCGAAATTTAAAGTGACGGATCTACAGGAGCAAACACCCGCTTGGTTTATTGGTCCAGAGCGGCACAGTGTCAGCCTCTGACGCAGCCGGAGCACCTATCCGCGAGGGAGACGCTGACACCTGACGGCTGCATCTCTCGACGCGCCGTCTTCCTCATCACGACCACTTCGGCTCTGCAGTGCAGGAACTGCTGCATTTTATGGAAACGGAGTCGGTGCATCCAGTCGTGGTCATGCTGCCCCCAAAGAATTGCCTGCCGAGGAACTACAGCTGCATTGCCGGACTGTTTGGGAGCCTGGCAGCGGCAAACCCGCGGCTTGATGATGGGGACGATTTTGATATGATTAACGATACTTGCGAAACCACCGAGACCCCCGTGGTGGAAGAGAGACCACGGGGCAGAGAGATCTTCCTGAAGCCGCCACAGAGTCCAAATCTGCGTCGGAGGTGCAAGTCGCTGCCTACATCCACAGAGAGAGCAAAGTTAGAGATAGCCCGCACCAGAAGTCCAACCAGTCAGAAAAAGGTCCGGTTCGCCGATTCCCTTGGCCTGGAGCTCATTTCAGTGAAGCACTTCGATGATGCAGATGAGCCAGAGGTGCCGGAGCGCATATTGGCCAAACTAACCAAAGGACACCTCCACCTTAATCATTTGGACACAAAATTCCCGCGTGCCCCTGCGCAGTCTGTGTGCATGGAGTTGCAGTTCACCAACCCAGGCACAGTACCCGGCTTTGAGCAGAAAGTGAGGGAGGTGAAGGTCATGTTAGAGACCGTTCAGGCGGACGAATTCAGCCTCTCCGGGTTTGTGCGCGTGTTAAATACGGCTTTCGAAAAGAGCGTCTCTTTGCGGTATTCTCTGAACAACTGGATAACATTTATGGACAGTCTGGCGTCCTATGTTCCCGACTCAAGCAACGGTGACACTGATAAGTTCTCTTTCAAGATAGTGATGCCCACCTATCTGGACAGCGGAGGCACATTTCAGTTTGCAATTAAATACTGTGTCGGCGGGAAAGAGTTCTGGGACAATAATAATGGGAACAACTACAAAGTGCGGCGTCACCGGTTCAAGATGTCCCCACCGCGGGAATGGGAGAATGGATGGATTCACTTTATCTGAGCTGTGTCGCACTTGCAGTCTGCGTGCGTAATTTGCGCGTTACTGATCCCCGGATATCTAAAGTATGACTGTAACTTGTTAAAGATGTTCTTTTCTGCCATTGCCAGCTACACACAAAGCTGTGACACTGAAAATTATTTCCCATAATAATTCAAATATTTGCCCCGTTGTGGTAACAGATTTAGGGTCGAAGACTACAGTAAACGCCTTTGATGGGTGCCCGGAGAGGGATCCTGTTAGATAATTTGCCTTGATGTCAGGGTTCTGTGTACAGCTTGGTGCCCTTTGGGAGGGCATGGTCACGTTATGTAATGTAGAAACACGTGCCACGGGAAACGTGCTGGGCAATGCCAACTTCGGGCATCACTGTTCCTTTCAGGAGATTCTGTAAAATGATTTGGTGGCACGATGATGTTTAAATTGTCATTGTTTTGCTTGCGTGCAAATATATTGTCTTGATGTGAAGCAGAAAGCATCTTGGCTGATATGGATATCAAGCGAACTATAGTAGCATATAGTCTCCTGCAGGCTGGGAGAAACATACACACATTGTCTTATTGAGTTGATGAACAGAAGCATTGGCAGGTTATTTTATAGAAACAAAACAAAAAACTATTTCCCCACTGTCATGCCATTGAAAATGCCTTATTTAAAGCCTTGATGTGGGACGTTGTGCAGCGAATATTTTGAATACAGTATTGTCTTCTTTTGACTTAACTAAATGCTTTTGATGGCTATCATCCTTAAACTTTAAAAATAAAGCATAGAGGCATTGGGAATTAGTTAGTGTCCTTACATGGAGGCTTTTAATCTAGAGACACCATACTTAGTCATAAACCAGCCATATATTTGCACCTATTCAACACACATTGTATATTTATCTGCTGAATTATTGCAAAAAATATTTTCCCTAACCAAAGTTCAAAGGCAATGAAAACGTTTTCTCTAGAAAAACAATAGCTTAATTATAACAGCATCATCCATCAAATCATAAAGTTTAGGTTCATAAAGCATGGGCTGTGATACTGTGATAGGAAGGAACCACTTGAGCGTGGTTGTTGTCCCACCAAGGAAAATACATTTAGTAGCAATCTTTGCCATGTTCAATTTACCTCAGACTACATGCAGACCTTTTCTCTTCTTCTTCAGGTTGATCGTTACAAAGCAGATGTTATTTTCACAGTAATTATTTTCTAACAGATACAGAACACAGTGTGTATTCATTTCTATTGGTGATTGCACCGTGTAACTGATTTTCCTAGGGCAGTGTTTTTAACAAAGTAGCTATCACACGGACGTATGTGTTGAACTGGCTGTAAAAGTAAATGATGATATCGTCAGTCGCCACTGTGCATGAATAGTGCTGCTTCTTACACCTGACCGAAATGGTTTAAGACACCTGACTGTTTGATACTTCATTTTCATACCATAAACCATGAGTGATGTTGATCAACCAGTCTACCATTTCCAGACAACAGCTAATCCATACGGCTTTAAGTAATCCACTGGCGGTCACTCTTCCAAACCTGCTCCAGACCATATGTGATCGTGTACTTTGTGGTAAACAGGTTTGCTTGTCGTAGGAAAACGAGTTTAATTAAAAATGCAAATGTTCTTCATGCTTTTTGTAAGTGTATGATGTTATAAATGTTTTTGGCCATGTAGAAAGTTGAGACTCCAGTTCAGCAAGTAGAGGAACAACAGGCAGGATGTTTTTAAATCCAGTGCTCTGACTGTAATCTGAACATCACTTTGTCCTTTGTTTACATCAGCATGGCCTCAGAGCGAGGCTCTCCATTTAACGAGGCCATCAGGTCGGGATGTGGATAAAGACTATTCCTGTAACCACTTAGTTTTTGGAGCAGTTCCACTGTGAATCCATCAGTAATGTTTGTCTCTAAATCTGGCAATGTTGTCAATGCTGATGTTGTTCGAATAGTTTTGCTGAAGTGATAGATTGCCAGCACTGAGTTGATATTTGCTTTCTCTACATTTATCACACACAGACCTGCATTTTCTCACCTGTTAGTTTAAGTACACTGTGGATATAAAAGGTCTGGCCACGGCAGAGCTTACTGTGTGTTATGTTGTTAAATCAGTGGGTATTTGCATATGGTCTGTGTAAACTTTGTTCAAACATTCATGCTGTGCAATACCAGAAAACATTAATTATCCCGGATGAGACTTCTGATGGGGTCCCGAGATGCATCAATACCAATTCATCACTTCCAACACAGACTATGTAGAGTTACTACAACAGTGTACAGTTTGAGATTGCTTAGTTTGCTTGACATAAATGACATTGGCATGATATGATGTGGAAACCGTACGATACCAGTGCTAAGTTTTAGCCTGGTATCCCCCACACTGCTGTAGTTATTGGTGCATCCACACCATAAACCAATTGAAGGGCTTCTGGTCTGATTAGATTTTCACCTCAATGAATACATGACATTTTGCATCACAACTCACTGATATATTGATATGTATATAAATGTCTTAATGTTTCACATTGAATGTCTTCCTGTTACTGTTCTACGTTGTGTGTATTTTGAAGTATTTTCAAAGCAAAATTGAGAAATTAATTGGAAAAGTTGTCTTCAGATGATCCTGGGAAGTTAGAAAATAACGTATGAGCCCAAACTTAATGAAATCCTAAAGCACACTTGCTATTATATTTAATTATATATATATATATATATATATATATATATATACATGTCTTCAATATCATACTATCTGCTTGTAACAAACTGCAATAATTTGTCTCAAAATTATGTTTACTGCAGAATCTCCCCTGAAATATGTACCGCAGTGTATCTGAATGAAATGAACACATTGGAAACAGTGTACATTGCCTTACGAAAATAAACGTTACTTAGAGACATGAAGCTGGAAAGATTGAAGAATGCAAGTGCTTGTTTGTTACAAAGTTGTGATTGATGATGGATGAAAACATGGACTCTGGACAACGACAGGGGGAACATATCTGGGCAAGATAGGGAAGGCCAGATGCACTTATGAGCGATGTATGATTGTAGCTGATACTGAGCAGACTCAGTCAAAGCAGGTCTAATGCACTTTGAGTGAGAACAAGGAAAGGGGCAGGGTTGAAAGTCACCATATATGTTTATGAAATAATATTCTGTTAATAGCTACATAACAAGATGTTTTCCATTCTGTGTCCTGTTTTACTGCTCTTTTCTATCACTCTGGAAAGCCTAAATCACTTCTGTCTTATTAATAACCATCGTATATGGCACTGAACTGTGTGCCATACAGTTCGTTTTTTGGTTTCGTAAATCCTTTGCAACCCTCTGTTGTAACATCTGCAGTCATGTGTCTGTGTTCATCTCTATTGTGTGCTGTCTTTCATTTTCTCTTTTGCTGTGAACCATGTTTGCATGTCTTTATTTTTACGTTGAGTTTTTAATGTGACCTCTATTTTGTTAATAAAGGCATTTGTGATGGAAACTAAATGCTCCACCAGTACTTGAAATTTTCAAAGGGCTGCTGCTGGTCCCCATTCATAAAGCAGCACACTGCAGTCGGCTGTAGACATCGCCATTGTAGACATGGTTGAGATGTCCTTGAATCGACACCCTGCCCCTTCTGTTTATGGAGGGGGTTGGAGCCTGAAGCAGGAAGAAATGCAGGAGAGGCAGAATGTAAAATATCTTAGAAAAAGCTAATCTTAACATAGTATGTTTTATCTTTTTCACTTTTAGTCACACCCCCTTGCAAGTATTTCTTAAAGGCCCAAATAGTTTGTCCATCTATTTGACTGTAGACGGACTTAACAATGCATCTGCTTGTTCCTCTAATCAGCTTAAAGTATTCAGGTTAACGCATATCAAAATACATTCAATCTACAATCTCTACTTCTAACAAGCATACCAGCTTTCTCTCTAAATAGCATATTATCATATTATAAAGAATAAGCCAACTGGCATAAAGCCACAGTCTCTAGAGTCCACCGACAAAGCCTCCAACACTTTCATTAAAGGAATTAAATGGCTGATAATGGCACTGTCATATTGTGCGGTCTTGACTGATGGAAAGTAAAGTCTGATACTCGAGTTGTTTTATTTGGAAAACTAACAATGAATGTGTGCTGCATATGAAGCTGTATCTGTGCATGTATAGCAGCTGTATGTTGTGTAGGTGCATTTGGGAGCCTTTGTGTCAGATTAGCAACATGAGCCTGCATAATCTTCATGTCTGTGATGACTGAGCTGTGTTGACCCACATTCAGAGGAAAGTTAAGGTTCAATTTTGCTTACTTATAGTCGTGTTGAAGGCACCCTGACAGTTTGTAGCTGCTCCGCATGCCACCTCAATGCTTCCAGCAACCAGTGTGAAATCCATACGGCCAATAAAAACCTGCTGTGAGATTCCAATTTAATTCCATAATCAGAGCTACGCGGCATCTTTTTCAAAGTGGAAAATCCCATAATCACCCAGAATACAGATAAAAAGAGATTACAATATCCAATGTCAGTGAGTGGTGAAGCAGGAAATTAAGACATGCACAGTTTGATTAGACTGCCGTGTGGCACATTTGTCTTATCTGGATTTTATTTGACTGTAAAATACATGAGATATTCTGTATAAACATCAACTAATCATTTTACAGCAAACTTTTGGCGTGTGTATGTTTCCAAACACTGGATATACATGAGCAAAGTGCACCTGTGGTAGGCTTGTCCGTCTAATTACCACACTGTGGTAATCAGGAAACATTGTGTTATCACTGTCTGTGTACCAACAGCTGCTTATATAACAGCCGTGCGCATGTGATGATCACGCTCGGATTGTTCTGTCCCTCAGGCGTCGGGCTTTATTAGACTGCAACCACAGAGACATTTTCATCCCAACTGCGTAGCTTCTCCCGCCACAGTCGAATTGCGGCCTGCGGCTCTAATAATGTGGTCGAGTCGACGCAAACAAATAGTTTCTAGTTTAAAAAATTCATGTGAGTCATTCAGAGAAATGCTGTGCCATGACATTGATCCTGACTCAGGCACCGTCCAGGGCTGCAGCGTAGTGTACTGGCATAACCTCGTCTCAGTGAGAACTGGACCTAAATATTTAATTAGCTAAATGGTCTTTTACAACTTGAGAAAATTCTTGTTGTTTTTGAAGTGTCTACTCCCACCAAGATGACTTCCTTGTTTCGTTGATTGCAACAGTTTCTTGTGCATTCTTCCTCTTTATTCTCCTCCTAAGTGTAAATTGTGTGCTTTTCCCAAAACATTAAACCTGTTAAAACTGAGCTTTCTCCCTTGTCTCACAAAACATTCTTTCCTAAATACACATACATTCTCTTACTCACAAAGAGTTAAAAATCAGATGTGGCAGGAGTCAGAGTGAATCCTTGTCAAACAGCCTACATACCTTTCTCATCCTCTTCTGCCTTTACGCCACATTTCTTATCTTACCTATCCCCACTGACTCTTCCTTGCTCAAAAGGTTTTTTTGTTATCAGTATATATTTTTAAAGTATACATACTTTATTGTCTTAATTAATTTGATCCTGTGAGTGTGTATTGCCATATTGAAGTTCGAATTGTTTTATGTACATATTCATACTTTTGTTGCTGCGACCTAACAGTAATAGTCTTTCATGTCTTTTGCTGGAATTGTGTGCATTTTTCATGAAAGCCCAAACATTTCACATGTGAAAGGTCCAAAATACACTTGTGTGTGCTGTGATCCAATGTGCTGTTTTTAGAGTTGTCTAACCGTTCAGAAAGACATTCAGTGTATACTGTGAAATATTGATGGAGGTGGCAGCCAACGATGCAGCAGGAATTGCAGTAGACTGAAGAAGATGCAGGTTTAGCTTTTGTCCCATTCATGTGAAACCCTATTAGTAGGTCAACCATAAACAGTCACTTTCACTACAACACTGCTTTTTTAGGTAAAGGTCGACAAATAAACTAACATGAGCACACACACAAATAACCAAGAAAAGAAAAATCATACTACAGTGGGTTCGTCTGTATGTGTGGAAAGCCTTCCTGACTTACAGCTCTCTGTGGAAGTTTCCACTATCTTGAAAAGGCCTGTTCATGAGACTTACAGATGATTTGTTTCCCCGCACACTATATTTAGACCTGGTAAAGGAAGTCACAGGAAATGCTTTAGCAACAAAACAATGGCATTGTGCCAAAGCTGCATACCATGCTTAAGTCCAATAAGGGTTGTCATTTATAACAGCACTGCCTGACTTGACCCATGTGTAGTTACTGCTGTCCTTCGCTAACGCTGTGGACACTTTCTTAATGTTGTGGCGATGTTTGAAAATTGCACAGAATATGTGGGTTCTACTTCTGCTTTTAGCGGCTATGATCGCTAAATCAAAGGGAATGTGCCTCATAGCCAGCTACGGCTCATTGTTTTGCTGTCCAAAACTATCCAAAAGTGTTTTGGTTTTTCGGCTGCAGCAGGCAGCTGTTTTCAGCCCCACTGTACACAACCTGCAGAGAGGCACAGTTAACGACTAGCTGGTGTACAGGGTGAGCATTTAGCAGAGCATTAGAGCATTTAGCAGCTCAAGAGCCCGATATTTCCCTCAAGAGTTGGTAGAGAGAGACCAAAACTGAAGCATATTTGAGTAGTGGACTTACATTTATCAGGTCGCCAGAAACACAACTCCATATGAATGATAATGTTGCTCTGTAATGGCTCGATGTGTAAACAAGTAACTGTTTGCTAACAAGTTTGCCATATAACTTAAAAAGTGATGATACGTATGTCAATCGCGTCTTCACAATTTGTTTCCGCTGCTCCAAAGTGGCAAAACAAATCAGTTATTGCAGGTTTTACAAAATGAACACTTTACATGCAGCAAAGGGAACACGTCTGATGTTGAAAAAATGAAATGAATTCATACGTATCCTGAAAAGTATTCCTGTCAATTGTATGAGACATGTGAATCCAAAGAGCCATATAGGTGGTCATCTCAACCATCAGTGACTGTTTAGTGTGCTGCTGGTCTCCTTCTAGACCTATCACATCAGGCCTCAGCATTAGGTATTGTTGCTCTGAATAAAACTATAGGATTACATCAGCATTACTCCTACTTTTTACATTTCTTTTCCTTCCATTCTCTGTTTTCATTTTCTATTAACGCGACACTCAAGGGATTTTACATTTATCTGCTTTTCATCCTATCCATCCATTTGCTGATGCTCTCCAATAAATTATATGTTTATTTGCCCATTCTATTCATTGCTTCTCTTCTCTCCTACTGTCCTTCCTCTCTCTATGATCTCACTGTCCTTCTGGACTGTATCTGGTTTTCCAATAACGCAATGAGAACTTCAGACCACAGCAGACACAATAAATTTCTTGCTCTGGCAGAAGAACTCTCGGCCAGAGGCACACTCATAAATAATCCATTGAACCAGACTGTTTCCACACTCTCGTCAGCTCTGCATCATGTCAGTATGCACAAACGGGTGGAAAGACCAACTTGGTAGGCATTTATTTAAAGCATACATTCAAGTGAATGCATACTGAAGGACCATATGGTGGGAGGAGATAATCAGGGAACATTTAGCATCAGTT